CTTCGACAGGAATAGCACGTGCGAACGACGGGGCTTCAACAACTGTCACGCATCAGGTAGCATCGATTTTTGGGACGGCCACGATACGCACATGGAAGGAGTGGGGCGCCGCCTTGCGAACCAGATTCGAGCACATATCCGCCTCGGACTCTGCTCGCATGCAGCTGCGTACCTGGAAGCAGCTGACTTCAGTCCAAGACTACACCAACAAATTCTGCAACTTGGCGGACCAAGTGGACGATATGAGCGATGCGGAGCGGTTGGATCGCTACGTGGCGGGCCTGAAATATGAGATACAGTACGAGGTCCGAAGAACCCGGCCACGCAGCTTCAACGACGCCGTCCGGGAAGCCGAGTCAACGGATGCGCTGATGCAGTGGGCGAGATCGAGCTCCCGGGAGGGCCCTCGATTTCGTGGACCGACTCAGCAGCCCACGATCAACGGCGTGGATGCACCTAGCCGAGCCCTTGGGCCGTGCTTTTTATGCAACCAGCTGGGCCACCTGAAAAAAGACTGCCCGAGGCTTAAGCAGGGGAAGAAGAACGACGGAGAAGGGTCGGGAAAAGATACGAGTCAGTAGCAGACGGGCCACCTACTGACGAGACCCTGTCGCCCGACATCACCATCCACACCGGGTCGTGGTACCGATCAGAGCTATCGACCAGAACCGGACGAATAACGTGGGTGAACACGTGGACTACCCTGTGCTGGTGGTAGGGAGGGTTAACGGTTATAAAATAAAAATCTTCGTTGACGGTGGGGCGAGCCACAGTCTCGTCAACCTGGCAACGGCCAAAAAAATTGGGGTAAAGCTGACCAGGTGTCTGCCGGAGATCGATGCTAGGTTGGTGGACGGGACACCGCTGGCCATCCGGGATGAGGCGCGAAAAATTCGGATACAATGCGGCGACAAATTCGGTTTTGGCATGAGAATGTTGGCGGCGACGTTGGACGGCTGTGATGTGCTGCTGGGGAGGGATTGGCTGCAGCGATTCAATCCGACGATCGACTGGACGACTGGGGCGTGCGTCGTGCGAGGATACGGAGGGAAGACGACGCTTCCGAAATGGACGGAGCCGGAGCCGGTGACGACACGTGTCAACGCGGTCAACATGCAGCGTGCGATGAACAGCGGAGCTCAGGCCTTCTTGGTGCACCTGTACGAGGTGGCAGCTTCCGAGAAAATCGCGGACATCGACACCCTCTGCACGGCAGTCCCTGAGGAATTGGCGAGCATTATTTGGAAGTACCCCGAAATTTTCGCGGATGACCTCCCGAATGGCTTGCCCCCCCAACGGCCTGAGGATCATCGGATCCAGCTGGAACCGGGAGCGCAACCTACTGTTCGGTCACAGTGGCGGCTCAGCCAACCAGAGCTCGCCGAGTTGCGGGCCCAGCTGGATTATCTGCTCGCCAAAGGATTTATCCGGCCAAGCACGTCGCCGTATGCAGCGCCGATACTGTTTACACCGAAGAAGGACGGGGGCCTGCGCATGTGCATTGATTATCGGGCGCTGAATCGGGTCACGATAAAGTCGCGTTACCCGATCCCGCGAACTGACGATCTACTGGATCAACTTCGCGGAGCTCGATACTTCTCGAAAATAGACCTGCGAGGCGGCTACCACCAAATTCGCGTGTTCGCCGACGACTGCCCGAAGACCGCTTTTCGCACACGCTACGGTAGTTACGAGTTCACGGTGATGCCGTTCGGTCTGACAAACGCGCCCTCGACGTTCCAGCTCACCATGAACGGAATTTTTCGGGACATGCTGGACAAGAAGGTCATCGTGTATCTGGACGACATCCTGGTGTACAGCGCGACAAAAGAGGACCATCTGCGGGATTTAGAGGAGGTGTTCCGGCGTTTACAAGGGCATCGGCTGATTACGAAGGGGTCTAAGTGCGAGTTTCTGAAGCCGGAATTAGAGTTTTTGGGGCATGTGGTTTCTGGCGAATGGATCAAAATCGACCCGCGTAAAGTGGACGCCATAGTTAAGTGGAAGCCGCCTACTAATATCCCTGAATTGCAAAGTTTTCTGGGGTTTGTTAACTACGTTCGTCGTTTTGTACCTAATATGGCAGGGATAACCAAGCCGCTGACCGACCTGCTGCATCACGACAGTGATTTTCGGTGGGGGGAGAGGGAGCAGTCCGCCTTCGACGCCCTCAAAAACATTTTGGGGTCACCCCCTGTACTCCGCCTCGCCGACCCATCTCGACCGTTCGAAGTCGTCACGGACGCCAGCGATTTCGCCGTCGGCGCCGTCCTGCTACAGGACTTCGGCCAAGGGCTGCAACCCATCGCCTACGAGTCACGCAAGATGCAGCCACCCGAGCGCAACTACCCAGTCCACGACAAAGAGATGCTGGCCATCGTCCATGCATTTCGCGTCTGGCACTGCTACCTCACGGGAGCCGACGTGACCATTCGGACCGACCACAAATCACTACAGTACATGCGCACGCAACCGACACTCAACCCGCGACAAATCCGGTGGTTGGACTTCCTCGAGTCCAATTTTCGGTACACCATCACGTACAAAAAGGGCGCCAACAACATCGCCGACGCCCTCACAAGACCATCCATGCAAAACGCGGCGGTACTAATCGCCCACACCAACCCGATGCTGACGGGACTATTCACCCACGGCTACAAGATCGACAGGTTTTTTCGGAACCCGCAACAACAGGCTGCCACACCGCACGGCAAGTACTACCTAAAAGCCGGTACGAACCGGATTTGGGTACCAGCATACCAGCCTTTACGGGAGCTGCTGACGCAGGAGGTTCACGACTCCAACCTTTCCGGGCATTTCGGCACCGACAAAACACTGAAGCTGCTGCAGCGGAATTATTACTGGCCGGACATGCTCACCGATGTGCAGCGCTACGTGTCAACCTGCCCGACCTGCCAGGCGATGAAGTCGTCGCGACAAAGGCCAGCCGGACTGCTGCAACCCCTCGAGCCACCCGAACGACCGTGGCAACAAGTGACGATGGATTTCGTCACGGGGCTACCAGCTGGCACGAGTGGCAACGACTCGGTGCTGGTCGTCGTCGATCGCCTAACGAAAATGGCGCATTTCGCCCCATGCCGAACGACGATCACAGCCGAAGATACAGCCAAACTGTTCATCTCCACCGTCGTACGCCTACACGGGTTACCTTCGGCGATTATCAGCGATCGTGATCCGAAATTTACGTCGAAGTTCTGGCAGGAGACGTGGGCACAGTACGGTACCCGCCTGCAGTTTTCGTCGTCATACCACCCGCAAACCGACGGACAGACGGAACGGACAAATCAGACCATGGAGCAACTGATTCGCACCAACTGCCCCGATATTAGCAAGTGGGAGGATTCGCTGCCGATGCTGGAATTCGCGTACAACAACGCCCCGTCGGCCACGACTAAACAATCACCCTTTTTCTTAAATTACGGGATAGACCCCGTGGTACCCTCTTCAACGACCGTGGACAATCCGGTACCCAGATCGCAGCAGTTTGTCACGGAACTGCAGACCGCCCGCACGAAAGCAGCTGATTTCATTCGTAAGGCCAATACCACGGCCAGTCGCCAGGCGGATAAACATCGACGGAATTTACCCTTCCGCGCCGGGCAGGTTGTGCTTCTGGACACCAAGAATCTTCGGCTGCCGCAGCCCGCGAAACTACGGCCCAGATACGTGGGACCATTCCGTATCATCCAGATGGTGACACCTGTCACCGCGAAGCTGCTGCTACCCGACGACTGGAGAATTCACGACGCCTTCCACGTCAGCCTACTGCGTCATTACGAACAGCCGCAGTCACCAGCCGTTGCTCGGCCATCTATCGCGCCGACCACACGTCCCGTGGCAGAGCCCACGCTGGAACCTTGGAAGATTCTTAACCATCGCGTGGACGTGACTGCCACAGGCCGCTCAGTGAAATTCCTGCTTCGCTGGAAAGAACGCACGAGCGAGGACGACACGTATGTCACCGCGGACTCGCTACTGGGACATCCGGTTGTGGATGCTTACCTGGCCCGACGAGGTGTCTCGGATATTCACCACCTTTCTTAAGGGGGGGGGTAGTGTAAGGAATTTTTCGGATTCCTTACTGGGTCACACTGTACGCGTACAACTCCGACTTTCGGAAAACCAGGCTCGGTCCGCCGACCTCGCCTTCCGAGCCACTACCGCGTCGCCTTCGGGATTTCCAACCCCGAACCTGCACCCAACCATCCCGCGACCCCGCGACCTAGGCCTAGCTAGCTTTGCTATATTAGTCCTAGGCCTCGTTGTGTTCTCAGACGTAATCACTTCCGCGTTATTGAATACTGCGCACTCTTCTTTCGTACAACTCATAACAGATTCATTGCACCCGTAAAAGTCTCCCAAAGGTGCTGAGTCCACATTGCACTATCGCAGATTCCCCTGCAGGCGTGAAGAATGGTTCTGCCGGCACGCGGGAATGAATTGGGAAATGGATTTCATCGAACACCACCAGATTTTGGTCTGCTGTGCTTGCTGCTTTCTTTCACCAGATTAGTTATCGTCAAATCCGTTTCTCGTCTTCTGTTTCTAGTGGCATCTCTTTCGTTCCTCTCCCATTATCTGAGTTTTTTTTGCTGCTTCGTACTACAGGCTGAGAAGATCGAACCCGAACTCGCGGTATTCACCCAGTCAACGGGGGAAGTACAGACCGGTCCCAGCGCGCGCCTCGCGACGCTGTTCAAGACCGCCACTATTCCTCGATCAACCGAGAGCAGAATCCATCTAGCAGTTTCCAGTAGGAGAAGGTCCAGCCTGTTAACCCTTCTGGGAGATAAAGAGAAAGAGAGGGATCGTAATTACCGCCCGGCCCCCTGTCGTCCCACTCCGTTTCACAACGATCCTTTCCCTTTTCTCCCCCGCGCTTCCTCCACTCGCTGCTGTTGTGACACGCCGACGTGTCGAGAGCTCACGCCCATGCTTCCGCTTCCACTTCGCCGCGCTGCAGTGGTTCCGGTCCCGCAATGCGCTCCGCTAAGAGCGTCCTCGTTACTGGTCCCGGCGGGAGCGCCGCCGTCTTCTGTCCTCTCCCGGTCGCCGATCCCAGTAATAAATTCCGCACAAACGGTCGTACGCAGGCAGTCAAGATTGAATGTTTCTATAACAACGCATTTAATTACTAGGCAACTAATCGTGAGGAATCTAATAACGAGGGGACGCAGACCAACGCTTGTAGGGGTACAGTTGGGGCTAGAGTCGAGTCAACAACCATTAAGACAACGCAATCCCGTGCGTCCCAGTCATGTAGTGCCACCGTCGGTATTTCAGCACCCTCACGACCTGACAGCACGATGTACTATACTCAGTGGTGTGAGCGGCAGGTACAGTCAGAGTCCGAGTCAGCGTCAGCGCCAACGTCAATGCCAGAGTGAGAGTCAGAGCCATCTCGATAGCAGCCTAGGGGAGGGAGACCACGATGGACTCGTTATAGTGCCCTCCGATTCGCGACTGGTACCGACCTCGATTTCACGTGTCAGAAACTCAAGGAACACACACGACCTTCACCCGCGCTTGGATTTCGGTGTGGCGTGCGGGCGGGGTGGGGCATGGCAGAGCGGGGCGGCGTGGACGCTGGGGGGAAAGCGGGCGGTGGGGGGGATGGGGGCGGTGGGGGGGATGGGGGGTGTTGAGGGGATGAGAAGGAGAAGGGCGAGGAGGGCGGTTAGGGCCATGTCATTTGCTGCTGGTGCAGCTGGTGATGCCGTCTCTGGTACAAGAGATGATAGCGATGGCAGTGCTGCTGCTGCTGGTAGTGGTGGTTGGAAGGAAGGAGAGGAAGAGGAGAGGAGCAGTGGGAGTGGGAGTGAGGACGAGGGGCAGCAGGTGGCGGTGGTGAGGGATATCTGGGGCCTTGCCCTCCCCGCCCTGGGTGCTGTGTGAGTAAGATGATGGGATGAGGGATGGGATGAGGGATGGGATGAGGGATGGGATAAGGGATGGGATAAGGGAAGACTCGAGCCTATTTGATAAAGTATTGATTATACTGACCATGGAGAGAAAGCACTCCTTCCGCCGCTGCCCCTCCCTCCAGAAGTCTAACAAACCGGCTCATGACGCTCACAGGCACGGTTTCTGAGCCGACTTAAAACCATGGCCAACCCCCTCCCCCCGCTCCCTCCCCCCCTTCTCCCCCCCACCCACCCACCCACCCACCCACCCAACCCCAGACAGTCTATCGGATTGGAGCATGATCCTGATAGTCACGGTTATTGAACAAATTTTTGAGTCGACTCAAAAGTCAACCCCCCCTCCCTCCCACCCATCCATCCCCCAGACAGTCTATCGGATTGGTGCATGACGCTCATAGTCACGGTTTTCGAGGCGACTCAAAGCTACACACCGCTTGCCACCCCAAACAGCCGTTCCCATTCCATCACCACCCTGAGCAGGTTGTCGGACCCGCTCATGACGCTCATAGACACGGCGCGTGTGGCATGTACGAGAGCTATTCACAATCACTCTCCTCTTCCCCTCCCCCACCTTTCCTCCTCCTCCCCACCCCTCCTCTCGGCAGTCTGTCGGATCCGCTCATGACGCTCATAGACACGGCGTGTGTGGGGCAGCTGGGGTCGCTGCACCTCGCTGCGCTCGCTCCCAACGTCTCTGTCTTCAACTTCATCTTCCAGGTGCGCCTGCCCTCTTGTGTGCGGTGCGGTGCAGTGCGGTGTGTGCTGTGCTGTGTGCTGTGCTGTGCTGTGCTGTGCTGTGCGGTGCTGTGCCATGCTATGACACTCAAATATTATTTTCACCAATTCCCCTTTCTCCCCTCCCCCCTCTCACATCCACCCCTGATTTTGTCCCATGCACACGGCTGCCTAACCTCCAACCATGCCACACCCCATGCATGCCCCACCACACCCCATGCATCCCCCACACCCCATGCATGCCCCACCACACTCCATGCATCCCCCACACCCCATGCATGCATCCCCCCCACCCCGTCCAACTCCCCCACACCCCACGCGACCAGACCTTCACCTTTCTGGGCACGGCAACGTGTGCACTGGTGGCGCGCCAATCCACGCCCCAGCCCACCTACGCTGCACAGTCCCACCAGAACCTACTGGTATTCCCCCTCACTCATCCCCTCCGTATCTCCCTCCCTCTTTCCCTCGCCTGCCACCTCCCTCCCCTCGTTTCCTCCATTCCCACCCTCTTCCCGGCTCACTGCTACCCCTCGCGCTACTCCTCTCCGGCCCCTCGCTCCTCCGAGCCATGTGCTGCTGCCCGCCCTCTGCCCTTCCTCCCTCACGCCCTTCTCCCAGCCGTCATTTCCTACCTTGGATCCTATCCCCTCCCTCCCCATTCCCATTCACTCTTAACTGGTGCTTTCTCTCTTTTTCTCTCCCCCCCCTCTCTTTCCCACCCGCCCACCCACTCCCCCGCTCTTCCCCGCCGCTCTTCTTTCCAGGCCAGCAGGGCAGTGACAGCAGCAATGCTGCTGGCCGTGGTGTGGTGGGGTCTATTTTTGCGCGCTCAATTTACAGCCCCCCTCCCCCCCCCCCCCCCACCCCTCTTTTCCTCCCCGCCCCTCTTCTTTCCAGGCCAGCAGGGCAGTGACAGCAGCAATGCTGCTGGCGGTGGTGGGCGGGTCACTGCTAGCCCTCGCGCTGCTCCTCTCTGGCCCCTCGCTCCTCCGAGCCATGGGCTGCCGCCCGCCCTTCCTGCTGCCCGCGCTGCAATACCTCCGCATCCGTGCTCTCTCTGGTGAGTCTCTTCTTGAGGCGCCTCAAAGGCCCTTCCTGCTACCCGCCCTTCTTGGTATCCTCCTTCCCTGCTACCCGCCCTTCCTGCTGCCCGCGCTGCAATACCTCCGCATCCGCGCTCTCTCTGGTGAGTCCTGTGCCTTCCCGTTGGGTGGATGTTAAACAGGGAGCCTGTGATTTCCCGGCAGGCCCTTGTGATGACTCTTGGCCCTTGTAAACGCCATTGCCATTTGCAAGCAGGCGGGCCCTTGCTAACAGCTTCGAAATGTCTGGGAGCATGTTGGATGTTAGACTGACTTGCAATTGTGTCAATCCAGTTATCCTTTTTTTTCCTTCCTGATTTCCCATCCCCCACCCCACCCCGCCCACCCATCTCTCCCCCAGCGCCCTTCGTGCTGGCTATTCTGGTAGCGCAGTGAGCGTGTCTAGGGCAGCAGCAGGACTCAGTCACGCCGCTGCTCATATTCGCTGCTCAGAGGACGAATCGGAGTTGACCTCTGAATCGATTCAAAACCTTTCTGGGGCAGCAGGACTCGTGTAAACCCGGTTCCGTCACTCGTTCCCATTCGCCAGTCCCCATTCCTCCCTTCCCAACCCCCCCTGCCCCACCCCAGCGCCCTTTGTGCTGGCCATTCTGGTGGCGCAGGGAGCGTGTCTGGGGCAGCAGGACTCGAGTAAACCCTGTCCCATCTGTCTCTTCTCTCTCCCCTCATTCTCTGGCCCTTTCTCCCACCCATCTCTCCCCCAGCGCCCTTCGTGCTGGCTATTCTGGTGGCGCAGGGAGCGTGTCTGGGGCAGCAGGACTCGGTGACGCCGCTGCTCATATTCGCTTCTGCTGCTGCGGTGAACGTGGCAGGGGATGCACTTCTAGCGCTGTACATGGGGTGGTGAGTGCGTGCACACTGCTGTGATTTCTCGGGTCCATTACCTGCTGCTGCTGCTGCTGCTGCTGCTGCTGCTGCTGCTGCTGCTGCTGCTGCTGCTGCTGCTGCTGCTGCTGCTGCTGCTGCTGCTGCTGCTGCTGCTGCTGCTGCTGCTGCTGCCGCTGCCGCCGCCGCCGCCGCCGCCGCCGCCGCCGCCGCCGCCGCCGCCGCCGCCGCCGCCGCCGCCGCCGCCGCCGCCGCCGCCGCTGCTGCTGCTGCTGCCGCTGCTGCTGCTGCTGCTGCTGCTGCTGCTGCGGTGAACGTGGCAGGGGATGCACTGCTAGCGCCGCTGTACATGGGATGGTGAGTGTTTGCAGCTCGTATCTGCTGATCTGATATTTGCTGCTGCTGGTGCTGATGTACCTGGGGTGGTGAGTGAGTGAGTGCACACTGCTGTGATTCCTTGGGTGCCTGCTGTGAACTTCGTGACTTTTCAGTGTGCTGTGCCTGCTGAGTCGACTCAAAAGTCACCTCATCACACAATAATTGAGGCGACTCAAAAGTCACCTCATCACACAAAAATTGAGGCGACTCAAAAGTCACCTCATCACACAATAATTGAGGCGACTCAAAAGTCACCTCATCACACAAAAATTGAGGCGACTCAAAAGTCACCTCATCACACAATAATCGAGGCGACTCAAAAGTCACCTCATCACACAATAATCGAGGCGACTCAAAAGTCACCTCATCACACAAAAATTGAGGCGACTCAAAAATCGCCTCCTTGGGTGCCTGCCTGCTGTGAACTTCTGTTGCTCCATGAACGTGGCAGGGAATGCATTGCTGCTAGCACTGTACGTGGGGTGATGAGTGAGTGAGTGAGTGCACACTGCTGTGACAGTGACTCTGTCCACTCCTCACTCTAATCGTCATCTCACCCCAACCACCTGCGCCTCACCCCAACCATGTGCTGTGCTGTGCGTGGCGGCAGGGGTGTGCGGGGAGCAGCGTGGGCCACACTCCTGGGTCAAGTGCTCGCTGCCCTCATCTTTGCTGCTCGACTGCGGCCACGAGGTGAGGAAGAGAGGGGAAGTGGGAGTGGGAGCAAGAGGGTGTGTTCTAGGCACCTCAAAAACACGATCCTGGGTCAAGTGCTCGCTGCCCTCATCTTTGCTGCTCGACTGCGGCCACGAGGTGAGGGAGAGTGAGAGTGTGTTTGTGAGACGCCTCAGAAACGGGAGCGGGAGCGGGAGCGGGAACGGGAGCGGGGGCGAGAGGGGGCAGGAGCGGGAGCGGGAGCGGGAGTGGGGGTGGGGGCGAGAGGGGGGGCAGGAGAGGGGGAGCGGGAGCGGGAGCGGGAGCGGGAGCGGGAGCGGGCGGGAGTGGGAGCAGGAGTGAGAACGAGTGCGGTCTACAACCTCCTTTCTTCTCTTTTTCTACAATCCATCTTCCCTCGTCTCATTTCGTGCCTGCTGCCCCCATTTGGACTTCGACCCTTTTCATGTCTTTCATTCTTCTTCTTTGTCTTCCTCTTCTGCTGCTCTCTCATGCCCCTCGCCTGGTCCCATCCGCACCATGTGAACATGAAGAATTGATTCAGAGGAAACAAGGGAGAGATCAATGGGAGGAAAAAGCAGGGGAACAAGAGGGGGAGGCATTGAGTGGAGGTAGGGGGGGAGGAGAGCTCAGCAGAAAAGAAGATAGCGATCGGTTGGGAGAAGACTGGGCTGCTGCAGCGCACCATGGTGAGCGGACTTTTGAGTCGACTCAAAAGTCTGCGGCGCACCATGGTGAGCACCGTGGTGAGTGGCAGTTCCATCAAAGTCGGCCGCAGTTGCAACAACAAAGAGAACAAGGACAAGAACAACAGCAGCAACAACAACAGCAAGAAGAAAAGCAACAGCAGAAGCAGCAGCAGGAACAGCAGCAGCAGCAGCAGCATGACCACGAGCAGCAGCAACAGCAGCCCTCCAAGCGTCAGCTGCAGATATCAGTGCGGTGGTTCGGGTGGGGCCTTCAGGAGGAGGGTGCAGCGATTGCGAGCATGGCTGTGCCGCTGGTCACGCGATCCATACTGGGCATGGTGAGTGGCGCCTGGGGGAGGAGAGATGCGGGGAGAGAGATGAGGGGAGAGAGATGAGGGGAGAGAGATGAGGGGAGAGAGATGAGGGGAGAGAGATGAGGGGAGAGAGATGAGGGGAGAGAGATGAGGGGAGAGAGATGAGGGGAGAGAGATGAGGGGAGAGAGATGAGGGGAGAGAGATGAGGGGAGAGAGATGAGGGGAGAGAGATGAGGGGAGAGAGATGAGGGGAGAGAGATGAGGGGAGAGAGGCAAGCGGCAAGAGGAAAGAGGAAAGAGGCGAGAATAGGGGAAACGAGCAGGAGGGTGCAACTGCACGCATGGCTTTGCCGCTCGTCACGCGATTCGTGCTAGGCAGGGGGGCATGGTGAGTGAGTGGCGGCAGGGGGGCATGGTGAGTGAGTGAGTAGGGAGGAGGGTGTGGTGAGTATCGCTTTTCTGTGTTCCTCCCTTACGCCCTCCGCCCTGCCCCCCCCTCTCTCTACCCCCCCACTTCACGTCTCCCACCATCAGGTGGTGTATGTATGCGGTAACAGTGGCATGAGGGGCGGTAACAGTGTATGTGTCTAATGAGTCGACTCGAACGTCAATTCCCTCATCCCCCCATCCCCCTTCCTCTACATCCCCCAATTCCCCATCCCTCCCACACCTGCCACCACCATCAGGCGGTGTATATGCTCTTACTTACCGCAATCTGACCCCATCGTCCCGCCTTTCCCACCCCCCCCCCCCCCATCTCTCCATTCCCCCCACGCCTGCCGCCACCATCAGGTGGTGTGCACTCTCTTGGCGCGTGCGGGGCAGCAACGGTGGGCGTGTCATCTCACCCAATCTAACCCCTTCCCGTCTTTCCCACCCCCCCCCCCTCTCTCCCATCCCCCCGCGCCTGCCGCCACCATCAGGTGGTGTACACGCTGTTGGCGCGCGGGGCAGCAACAGTGGGCGTGGCTATTGAGTCGACTCAAACGTCATCTCTCCCATCCCCCTTCTCTCTCCACGCCTGCCACCGTCAGGTGGTGTACACGCTGTTGGCACGCGGGGCAGCGACGGTGGGCGTGGTGGCCATGGCTGCCCACCAGGTCGCCATGCAGGTGCGGTGCGGTTGGGTGTGGTGGAGGGAATTGGATGGTGGAGGTGGAGGGTGGAGAGTAAAGGGTCTATGTTTTACTTCACACCCTTCACGCACACCGTCTCTTGCCAACTACAACCCCCACGAGTGTAAAGGGTCTATGTTCTGAGCTCTCAGCTATATTGCCGGGCCGCTCTCCCTTCCCTTCCAACACTCTTTTGCTTCTTGCATGCTCTTCTCCTCTTCCACGCTCTCACCTGTTGCAATGCAATGCAAATCTTGGGCAAGCGCACACTAACTCTCGTCTGCTGCCAACCCCCACAGGTGTTCTGGACTCTCATTTACCTTGCAACTTACTTTTGCTCTCCACTTCCGTCCACTCACCTGCTGCAACCCTTGCTCACCGTCTCTCACCTGCTGCAACCCTTGCTCACCGTCTCTCACCTGCTGCAACACTTGCTCACCGTCTCTCACCTGCTGCAGCCCTTGCTCACCGTCTCTCTCCTGCTGCCAACCCCCACAGGTGTTCTGGACGCTCAGTTACTTCGCAGAGCCACTCTCGCTCGCAGCACAGTCCCTGGTGGGCCGAGACATCAAGAGCAGGCCAAAGGTGAGAGAAAATAGCATAACTCAGGCGAGAGAGACTCAAAAATAGTCTCCTGGCAGCACAATCTCTGGTGGGGCCGAGACATCAAGAGCAGACCAAAGGTGAGAGAGAGCAGAACCGAGGTGATCGAAAGAGAAATTGCCAATAGAGGCACAGTTTGCTCCTTCCCCCGTGCCCTCCAGCTGACTTTTGAGTCGACTCAAAAGTCTTGCTCCTTCCCCCGTGCCCTCCAGCCCTTCCTCTCAGCCGTTCACTCCTCTCCTCACTCCCCTCCTCCCCTGCCTTGGCTGCACCTCTCCCAACCTCCTCATCTCCCACTCACCGGTATGTATCATCGCACCCACTCCGTCAGCTGCTCCGGTCCGGATGGGTGATGAGATGTTTCAGGGCCTGCCATTTGGTCGTGCGAGAGCAAGCAGTCACAACATCCCGTTTCTCCCTCCACTCCTTGCTTTTTGAGATGCTTTGGCGAAAGCTCTCGTTCCCTCTCTCCTTCCCATGCAGCACCCTGCTAATGGTGTGCTGGCTCTGCTGCTGCTGCTGGCGTTGTTGTGTTCTCTTCTTCCAATCTTCCTCCCCTTTAGCTCCCCCTCTTCCCTCCAGCACGCATCGCGCACGCTCCGGCAGCTGCTGCTGTCGGCAGCAGTCACAGGCGCCGTGCTGGCGCTGCTGCTGCTCCCCTTCCTCCAAGCCTCTCCTCCCCTCAACCCCTCCCTCCCTTGCTCCCCTCTTTCCTTTCCTTCCAGCGTGCATCGCGCACGGCGCGTCAGCTGCTGCTGATGGCAGCAGTCACAGGGGGCGTGCTGGCGCTGCTGGTGCTCACGCTCTCCCTCTGCGCCTCACACCTGCTCTCCTCCGATCCGGGCGTGCGCCTTCCCTCCCTCCCTTCCCCCCCTTCCTTCCAGCGTGCATCGCGCACGGCGCGTCAGCTGCTGCTGATGGCAGCAGTCACAGGGGGCGTGTTGGCGCTGCTGGTGCTCACGCTCTCCCTCTGCGCCTCACACCTGCTCTCCTCCGATCCGGGCGTGCGCCGCGCCGTCAGAAGCGTGGCGTGGCACAGCGCTGCGTGCGAGTGCCTATGTGCTGTGTCCATGTCCCTCGAGGGAATTGCCATCGGTGCAGGTGAGAGGAGAGGGGAGAAGCGTGGGTGGGTAAGAGGAGAGGGAGGGCGGATAAGTGAGACGCAGTCACGAGGGCAGGAGCATGGAGGGATGGCATTGGGGAGTGAAGTGTGTGGCGTGGCACACCGCTGCATGTGAGTGCCTCACTGCTGTCTCCATGTCGCCATCGAGTCGAGGGGGTTGCCATCGGGACAGATGAAGGGAGGGTGGTTGAGTCGAGTAAGCAGGGAGGGTAGTTTATCAGACCACACATTTACGTGCCTCACCTTAATCGGCAGCTCAGGATCTCATTATTCATTCCCACACCCATCTCTGAAACCAATCCTGCCTTCATGTCGATCTCCTTTTCACCACCTGCTTTTGTGTCTCCCTTCCTCCCTGATTTTCCTCCTTCAGATGATTTCGGCTATCTTCCAACCATGCAGCTGCTCAATCTTCTTGTGGTTGCCGGCGCGTTTTTCGCCTTACTCCGCATTGGCCTCACGTTGACCTCCCTCTGGTGGCTGCTGGTGATATTCTTCGCGTTCCGCATAGTGTACCACACACTGTACATCATCTCACGAGGCTCCAAGCATGTAAGTGTTTTATTGAACAGTAAGAATCTCGCTGTGGGATGTATTGTGAGCAGGATTGTGGTGTCTATTAACGTATTATCCAATGTATTTTGTTGTGCTCTGTCATTGCAGGTGCTCCGGTATGCCTGAGGAGGCAATGCATTTATGTACATGTGTAGGTAGGTTTGTTTCATGGTGTGTACAGTTGCTTGTGATACAGAAAATCCTTAATGGTGTGTGTACAGTTTTTGAAGTTTTACAGTCCCCTATTTTAAGTGGGTTTCAAATACAGTTGATGGTGTCTGAACTATGTGGGCTTCAAACAGAGAAATATCAGGCTCAGCTCAATTGACCTTGGGCTGGTTTGTTGTAGGTTGTTTCACAAAATGTATGAACAAGGTGCAAGACAGTGACTAACCATATTTGGCCCTCCTCGATTCTCCAATCTTGCGTATCCACTCCGCGTCCGTATTCGAGTGCGAAGATGTATGTAATAGACCCTGCACAACCTCGGTATACCGAGTCAACTAGAGGGACGTCACATCCCAGTACCCTCGTGAATACTGAGGTTATCGTCACTAATCTTACTGCAACGTTCTGAATCTCTCGGTTTCACTGCGAACCGTTGTCTTTTGATGCAATCCCATCCCTTCCCTCATCCAGCCAGATCCCGCACGCATCCCACTAGTCTTGTCCATCATTCGCGATTCTGAAGGAACGACCAAATCAACCTAGCGAGCGCCCTGCTTTCCAAGACCGGGAGCGCGAATTCTCTTTACACTTCTGACGCGGAATACTCTAGCGCTTCTGCTCCCCTGCTGCTACGACAACCATCGTCTCATTCAAGGTCAGCGTCAGTCCCGACGGGACCAGAGCTTACAGAACTGGAAATTAGACCTGACTATATCAGACCTGTCCGGACTGGTTTGTTCCTCTCCGATCTGCTTCAAATCAGCCCGCGTGTCCTCCGCTTTGCAAGCGATGACACGCCGTCATGACTCGCCGTCGTGTCACACGGGTAATACGTTACAGACACACCGTCCCCACCGTCCCCTTCACACGTCACCCTCATCGTTACCTTCTCACTCTCTCTCTCTCTCTCTCTCTCTCTCTCTCTCTCTCTCTCTCTCTCTCTCTCTCTCTCTCTCTCTCTCTCTCTCTCTCTCTCTCTCTCTCTTCACTTTCGTCAGGCAACCGTTACGTGAATTCTGTCCAGGCACGGCCTGTTCTCTCTTGAGTTCAGTTCAGGACTGAATGCGTCATTTTCCTCTCCACATGCTTGACGCCACGCCCCGTTCTTCTCTCCGCGTCGTCGTCATGCCATGCTTTGCCACGTGCTGCTGGTACTCCGAGTAATCGCACTCCCCGCTCTCCGTTCCACAGCGCGCGTGCCCCATCCCCTGCTTGAGACACTCCCACATCGGTCGTTACTTTCCGTTGCTTCCCCCCATCGCGTTTCTCCATCCCCAACTGACTTCGTTCCATCTGGTCTCCCGCTGTCGCACCTTCATTCTCTCGCTCCAGCACCCTTTATCAGGCCGATTCAAGATTCATACTTCCTTCTCTCGAGCTGTTGGCGAGGTTGCTATTCGAATCCGTCCCGTGCTTATGGCTGCTCGTCTGCAAGAATGAAGCGGTCCTTTGGAGTGGTTGGGTGAGCTGATCTTAACGCGGATATTTTTTCCAAAAAACGGATACCCTACATCGCATAGTGCAGCGTCAGTCGTGCAAGCAATCGCGAGAAGCGACGGCAGCGGCAGCAATAGCAGCAGTGTAGCTAGACCCACCAATTGTTCTTGATACAAAAAGGAAGGTAGAACGAGCAAAAAAAACGAACACAAGGGTGAATATCAAGTCATATGGTCCAAGGAAGCAGGAAGGAGAAGGAGGAGAAGGTAGAAAGAGAGGAAGAAAGAGGAGGAACGAGTAGGAAGAAGGAGCAGGAGGAAAGAGGAGGAGGCACAGGAAGGGTGGAAGGAGCAAGGAGAAGCAGCGAGGAGGAGGAGGAGGACTGAAATGAGCAAGGAGCAAGGAGAGAAGCTGCAATGAAGACGCCAGAGGAGATACAAGCGGAGGAGGTGGCTCGTCTACTAGACCCGCGGCGGCTGACGCTGCTGATAGCGGGCATGGCGACATTGGTGGCCAGCAACCTGTGTGTGAACCTCATAGGGCGCCACACGCGCGAGTGGACCAAGCCAAGGGAGCAGCGTGCCATCATGGTGCTTGTTGGGCTGGCGCCTGTTGTTGCTCTTGACTCCTACTTTGGTGCGTGCCTTTCTGAGTCAACTAGAGGATGCTGTTTTGAATCGTCACACGCGCGAGTGGACCAAGCCAAGAGGGCAACGGGCCATCATGATGCTTGTTGGGCTGGCGCTTGTCGTTGCCCTCGACTCCTACTTTGGTGCGTGCGTGCTTTTAGAGTCGACTCGAACAGCCAAGTTAACTGATGAGTCGGCTCAACAGATGACTCAACAGTTGCCTTGCGCCTGTTGTTGCTTGATTTGGTGCGCTCTTTGCTAATCGTTTTCAGCTTTCCGGGTTTGCGCTGTTTTTAATGTATTTTTCCTGCATTTGCTGTTCTTTGACAAATCTTGTGCGCAAGAGAGGAAGGGAACCAACTTACAATGTCATCTACCTTCCTCCCTTCCCACCTTCCTCCCCCTTCATACCCCCTCACTCATTGCCCACCCCCCTGCGTGCAGGGCTGGCGGAGATGCCAGAATATGAGTGGCAGGTGCCAGGTGGCGCTGCTGCTACACCTATTCCGAGATTCGATTTGTGTCAAATCCCTCCCACTTTCCCCCCCCTTCACTTACACCCCCTCACTCCTCGCACACCCGCCTGCGTGCAGGACTGGCGGAGATGGCAGGGTATGAGTGGCAGGTGGCGCTGCTACACCTCCTCAAGGACTGCTATGTTGCATATGTATGCTCTCCCTCGCCGCCCCTGCGCCCCCTCCTCCCTCAGCTTCCTTTGCTTGTTGTTCCTGCTGTGATCGTTTGTTGGCGTTCCCCCCATCCCCATCCCCACCCCCACCCGCAACCCCATCCCCCTCCTGCCTCCTGCCTTTCATCTTTCCTTCCCCACCCATTATATTCTCCTCGCTCTCTTTTTTTCCTTGCTCTTGTCTGCCCCTTCCAACCTCCGTTCGTCCGTCCGTCCATCCGTCCATCCATCCATCCATCCATCCATCCATCCATCCATCCATCCATCCATCCATCCATCCATCCATCCATCCATCCATCCATCCATCCATCCATCCATCCATCCATCCATCCATCCATCCATCCATCCATCCATCCATCCTCACATCCTTGCCCTGTCGCCTCCTTTTTTCCTTCTGTTGCTCGCCTCACTCTATCCCCTCTCATCCTCTCCTCTCTGTCCCCTCTCCTTCCTTCTCTTCTGACCCTCCCCTCCCCTACCTCCCCTCCCTTCCCTCCCCTCCCTTTCCTCCCTCCCCTCCCCTTCCTCCCCTCTCCCCACCTCTACACAATAATGACGGCAGGGCGTGTCGGAGTTCCTAGCTCTGCTCTCAGCTTTGCTCAAAGTGCCTCCCCGGCCCTCCGCCCCTCTCCCTCACACGTCCTCTCACCGCCGCATGCTGCAGCACTCCTTCCCCTTCTCTCTTTTCCTGGTACGCTCCCGATCTGGCTCCCATTCAAAACTCGTTGTGACTCGACTCAAAGCATGCCTTCCCCTTCACTCTCTTTCTGGTGCGTTCTAGAACTGGCTCCATTAGGGTTCTGCTTTCGTCTCTTTGTCTCGTCTTCTTTATCCCCACATGCCATGCGCTTTGGAGGCACCACCACTGGAATCAGGCTGGTTTTCTTCTTGGCATGTCTTGTCATTCATCCCATATCTTTTCTTGCCTCCCATCTCCTATTATGCCCATGAATGGCATTTCTCTCATTCACCCTACTTTCTAGCTTCAACACCCTACTCATGCCTCCTTCCATAATGTACCACCTATTTGTTTTGCTTTATTATTTCCCCCCTCTTGCTTCATCCATCTATTGTGTCCCGTATCGTGCTCTTCCTCCTCCTGCATCATATCCTTGCTCTCCCTCTTTGCCTCCCTCTTTGTCTCCTTTCTCCTCCTCTTCTTCCCTTCCACGCAGCGGCCCGAAGTGAGGGCAAATCGAGCAACCCTCAACCTCCTTGTCCAGTGGATCCGCCAGTTCATACTGCTCCTCCCCACCCTCTCCCTCCTCTCCTTCCTCCTCCACCTCCAAACCTCCCTCTTCCACGAATACCTCCCACTCCCCTCCCAAATCCCCTCAACCCTCTCATGGCTCATCACTCTCTCCCACCACGGGTCACTCTATCTCGCCGCGTACGCCCTCCTCCTCCTTTACCACACCTTCGAGCATCCGTTTCTGCCGTTTAGTGCCTTGAGCAAGTTCCTATGCCTGGTGCCGCTTGTTTTTCTACCCTACTGGCAAAATGTGCTGGTGGATGTGCTGGTGGGGTATGGGAGGATTCAGGCGAGCCAGCTACCGTATACGCCGAAGAATTTGCAGCGGGCAGTCGGTCATTTCCTGGTTTGTTGTGAGATGCTCCCGGCTGCCGTCGCCCTGTGTTATGCGTTTCCGGAATCGGAGTATAGCGTGGAGAGCAGGCAGAGAGAGAATGGAGAGGATGAGGTGGGAGAAGATCGAGAATGAGTGTCCTGCACGTTGTGACTCTGCATGTTAGTTTAGAGAACAGAAAGTAATTCTAGGGTCAGTGTATGTTGGCGCGTAGGAATGGTATATGAGGGTGTTCATGATAATGATTACCACTTTTACATTTGATGTTTCACATTGTTTGTTTTCCGTGCTGTTTGCTTTTGATGGCCGGATGCATTTACAGTTTTCTGTAATCGTTATCGGATCATCATCCGGAGCGCGTCAAGCGATTTCGCCGCACCGACTCGGGCTGGTCAAGCGTTGGCGTTCGGGAAGGGTGAGAGAGTGAATTGAACCAGGCGCCTCGAAAGAAACCCTCCGCTCGGCACGCGCAGATCCGCCTCCCTCAGAACTCGACCTTTTGTTTTCCATTCCAACCAAAGCACCCAACCCACCCTACCCCAACCACACATTCCCCCCCCCCTCACACCCGCACCAACGAACTCGTTTCCAGTACGAAATCACACATGAACAGTAAGTGCTGAAACATTGCATCCATCCGCATGATTCACCAGCTCCACGACCCGCTCACCCTCCCCAACCCAACCAAACAGTTCCCCTCCCCCCCTGGTCTCCCTCTCACTCCCTGCCCTGACCAAATCCAACAACCACCCACTCAACAAACAAGCAAGAGGCGCAAATTCATTCAACCACCGCCGCCGCCGCTCGCACCACCGCACCGCACGCACCAACACCCAACCATTTCCCCGGCTCGATATCGCTCGGCCTGCATTTCTCCAGCCCATTTCTAGCAGCTGCAGCAGCAGCAGCAGCCGCCGCACGGTTCCTCATCACATGACTAGAATCGCCAAACGCGCCGCTCCGTGTTTTACGACGTCTCAATGCGATAATAGTTGTGTCGTGTTTCGATATTAGGCGAATGCGGAGCATAGTATGCTCGATCGGGCCATCCGCCGCGATCGCCGGCGCTGACTCCCAGAATGGGAACCGCCGCGACGTGTCGCATTGGAGCGCGTCGCCTCTAGACTTGGGCAACACATTGGAAACTTCGAGACCGAGACTTGACCACCATATAGTTGCGAACAACTAGTTCCGCAGCGATTACTATAGCTTCAGCGATCTCTGTATACGCGCCCGCGAAGCACGCCACATACGGATTCAATGTATCATTGATACTAGAGCAGCACTGCTCACGGCGTGTTTTGATTCGACTCAAAACACGCCACGTACGCACTCTGCTCATCTGCAGCACTCGACCAGCCGCGTTGTTGTGCATCTCTCATGCAATCAAAATCATCTGTCCCCCGCAATCTCCGCTCCCCGGATTCGTGCGCCTCCTCTCGCTGCATGCGCGCACACGCCGTGCCTCCACGAAAAGACACATGGGACCTCCCTACTGATCCGATTCTTCGGTCTCCGATTCGCCGCTAAACCTCCAAACCTTCACGCACCTTCGGGAAACCTCCCATTCGCGACACTCACGATGCGTGGTGTAGCCGCTCGTTGCCGTGTGCGCGGATCTCCTCCAGATCGGGGCGCGCCTCGCAATGCGCCGCGCCCTGTGCGCGGATCTCCAGAAAGGTGCGCGGCGGCTCTGTTCCTGAGGCGCCTCGAAAGCAGTCGCCTTGTGCGCGGACCTCCCCCAGCTCGCTACACGGCTCGCAATGCCTCGCGGCGCCGTGTGCTCGTGTTGCGGCTCGTGGCGATCGCCATTGCAGCCGTGGTCCTAGGCCGTGGGACCTGCTGCTGCCGCCACGTGGCAGCGGCAGCCGCCTCATCTGCTTCTGCTTCGGCTGCCGCTGACGTGTCAACAGCACCACAGCCACCACGTGAGTGAGATCCGTTGATCAGTCGTTGCGTGCACGGTTGAATCCAACCAAGTGATCATTCCGCTAGGAGGAAGGAAGAACAGCAGCATAGACAGAACTTGAGTGGCATTATTCCGCTGAATTGCGTAGTAGCGTATCTCAAAGTTAAGCTAGTAAGGAGCTCGTCACGCGACATCTCAAACCCAACAACATCGCAGCCGCCGAATAATCTCTCCCAACGCTGCAGATTTGTTCATTCCAAGGGCTAGTTTAAGCTAGGACTATCAGGTCAGCAGCAGCAAAGGACGTTCTCTCAATCCGCCGCCGCCTGGGGAGCGGTCACCTGTGCCCCTAGCCGTGCCTACAGGCCCTATCACCCCTTGCCCTCCAATGCCCCTCTTCTGTTCTGCCCAGTTTGCTTCAAAAACCTTCACTGCAAATCAAACTATCCTATCGTACCTGTGCCATGTGACTAGATGCATCTAGTTCACGACGTAACCCCCCTCCTCCACCCCTCGCCGCTTGCCGTTGCCTCTGGTGCTCTCTCATACGGTCATACTCTGAGTACTTACTTTCCTCCTTGACCCCCCCGCGCTCACCCCCGTGCTCCCCCCTGTGCTCCCCACTATGCTCCCCACTGTGCTCCCCACTGTGCTCCCCACTGTGCTCCCCACTGTGCTCCCCCCTGTGCTCCCCCCTGTGCTCCCCACTGTGCTCCCCCCTGTGCTCCCCACTGTGCTCCCCCCTGTGCTCCCTCTTTCCGTATGCTCTCTTGCCCCACGTTGCCTGCATGCTGCAGCAGGTGGAGTAGGAGGAGGAGCAAGTGGGGCGTTGGGGGGGAAGAGACAGCTGCAGTACCAGCAGCAGCGGCAGCAGCAAGAGCAGCAGCAGCAGCACAAGGAGCAAGGGTGGATGGATGGGTGGGATGTGGAAGGGTGCTGCGTGGGAGACATGGCAGCACCTGGGAAGGACACGGCAGCCGCCATTATCCCATGCAGTGAGTTTGCGTGTCGCTGAACCCACCGCTGCAGCAGTCAGTTAGTTTTTACACATTATTCAGAGACCAACTGGTCGCAGCAGCACAAGGAGATGAAGAGCCCGTATGATTACTCTTTCGAGGCGTCTCAAAAGCAGAGCAAGGAGATGAAGAACCCATATATGCATACTTCTCCTTTCCTTTCCATCCTCCCAACTGTCCTGCACCGCACCTATCGCAGTCCCCTCCCAGGCCGTGTCCCGCCTTGTGCCCAGCCCACTCGGCCCAGCTGCCTTTGAGTCGACTCAAAAGTGTCCTCCCACACCCCCCCGCCCCCACCTGTCGCAGTCCCCTCCCAGGCCGTGTCCCGCCTTGTGCCCACTCGCCCCGGCTGCCTGTACTCGCTCTCCTTCCTCTTCTCCTCTCACCCTCTGCAGCTGCTTCAGCAGCGGCAGCGGCAGACACAACAGCAGCAGCAGAAGCTTCAGAAAGGAGAAGCAGAGGCATATGCAGCAGCAGCAGCAGCAGCAGCAGCAGCAGCAGCAGCAGCAGCAGCAGCAACAGTAGCAACGTCAGAGAAAGAAGAAGCAGCAGAAGCAGGAGCAGCAGGGGGTGTGATTGTGACGGCTGTGGGCCTATATGAGGAGTGCGAGCAACACCTGTTGACAGACGTCGTGCAAGAGAGGATGGTGAGAGGAGGATTGTCAGTGTCAGTGTCATTATGAGTATCAGCAAAAGTGAGCTTTCGAGGTGCCTCAGAAAGAGTGTGGTTGTGACGGTTGTGGGCCTGTATGAGGAGAGTGAGCAGCACCTTTTGACAGACGTCGTGCGAGAAGGGAGGATGAGGATCAACCATTCCAGTGTCATTGTCAGAGAGTCAGTTTTGGCCTGTTTCGGTGTCAGTCTTGGTGTCATTGTCAGTGTCACAGTCGGTGTCAGTCTTAGGACGCAACGCATACAAACTGGCGCTGCCCATCTGACTGACATGTGTCAAGCTCACTCACCTGCTCCTGCTTCTCTCCACTCTCCGCTCTCCCAGTTGCACATCCTTAAAGCCTTTCACCCTCTCTCTCCCTCATCTCCTCCCCTCCTCAGCCTGTCTTCCTTTCCCCCAACCCCACCATTAGTTGCCTTCACAGCCTTTCACCACCAACCTTCCCAATTGGATGCTCCACTCGCTGCCTTTCAGCCTTCATGCCCTCCTCTCCCTCCTCCCTCCTCCTCACCCATAAGTTGCATGGTTTCATTATTTCTTTCTTTCGTTCTTTCTTTTTTCTGTTGTTACAAACAAACACACTTCCTCTCACCCTCTCTCTTCGCCTCTTACCACCTTCCCTTCCTCCAGACCCACCAATGGACCCTCAAGTCGTTGCCCTTCACAGCCACCACCCCCTCCACCCTCCTCACCTTCTCCTCCCTGCCCTCCTCGCCCCACTCTGCTGATGCTGCTGTTGCTGACGCTGCTGCTGCATGCTGCAGCTGCACTGGGAAAAGCAGCAGCATCACTAGTACGGACAGCAGCAACAGCAGCAGCAGCAGCAGCAGCAGCAGCAGCAGCAGCATGCATGAGTGCTCGTCGCTTCTCTCAGCAGTACCTGCAGCAGCAGTTGCCAACGTTACTCTCAGCCTCGTACACTGCCCTCTGTATGCATGCACCCGCGTACAAACATGCATGCACACCCATATAAGCATGCATGCTCACCCATGCAAGCATGCATGCACACCCATATAAGCATGCATGCTCACCCATGCAAGCATGCATGCACACCCATATAAGCATGCATGCACACCCATATAAGCATGCATGCTCACCCATGCAAGCATGCATGCACACCCATATAAGAATGCATGCTCACCCATGCAAGCATGCATGCACACCCATATAAGCATGCATGCACACCCATATAAGCATGCATGCTCACCCATGCAAGCATGCATGCACACCCATATAAGAATGCATGCTCACCCATGCAAGCATGCATGCACACCCATATAAGCATGCATGCACACCCATATAAGCATGCATGCTCACTCATGTAAGCATGCATGCACACCCATATAACCATGCATGCTCACCCATGCAAGCATGCATGCACACCCATATAAGCATGCATGTTCACCCATGCAAGCATGCATGCACACCCACGCAAGCATGCATGCACACCCATATAAGCATGCATGCACACCCATATAAGCATGCATGCACACCCATATAAGCATGCATGCTCACCCATGCAAGCATGCATGCACACCCATATAAGCATGCATGCACACCCATATAAGCATGCATGCTCACCCATGCAAGCATGCATGCACACCCATATAAGAATGCATGCTCACCCATGCAAGCATGCATGCACACCCATATAAGCATGCATGCACACCCATATAAGCATGCATGCTCACCCATGCAAGCATGCATGCACACCCATATAAGAATGCATGCTCACCCATGCAAGCATGCATGCACACCCATATAAGCATGCATGCACACCCATATAAGCATGCATGCTCACTCATGTAAGCATGCATGCACACCCATATAACCATGCATGCTCACCCATGCAAGCATGCATGCACACCCATATAAGCATGCATGCACACCCATATAAGCATGCATGCTCACCCATGCAAGCATGCATGCACACCCATATAAGAATGCATGCTCACCCATGCAAGCATGCATGCACACCCATATAAGCATGCATGCACACCCATATAAGCATGCATGCTCACCCATGCAAGCATGCATGCACACCCATATAAGAATGCATGCTCACCCATGCAAGCATGCATGCACACCCATATAAGCATGCATGCACACCCATATAAGCATGCATGCTCACCCATGCAAGCATGCATGCACACCCACGCAAGCATGCATGCACACCCATATAAGCATGCATGCACACCCATATAAGCATGCATGCACACCCATATAAGCATGCATGCTCACCCATGCAAGCATGCATGCACACCCATGCAAGCATGCATGCACACCCATATAAGCATGCATGCACACCCATGCAAGCATGCATGCACACCCATATAAGCATGCATGTTCACCCATGCAAGCATGCATGCACACCCACGCAAGCATGCATGCACACCCATATAAGCATGCATGCACACCCATATAAGCATGCATGCACACCCATATAAGCATGCATGCTCACCCATGCAAGCATGCATGCACACCCATGCAAGCATGCATGCACACCCATATAAGCATGCATGCACACCCATATAAGCATGCATGCTCACCCATGCAAGCATGCATGCACACCCATATAAGCATGCATGCACACCCATATAAGCATGCATGCTCACCCATGCAAGCATGCATGCACACCCATATAAGAATGCATGCTCACCCATGCAAGCATGCATGCACACCCATATAAGCATGCATGCACACCCATATAAGCATGCATGCTCACCCATGCAAGCATGCATGCACACCCATATAAGAATGCATGCTCACCCATGCAAGCATGCATGCACACCCATATAAGCATGCATGCACACCCATATAAGCATGCATGTTCACCCATGCAAGCATGCATGCACACCCACGCAAGCATGCATGCACACCCATATAAGCATGCATGCACACCCATATAAGCATGCATGCTCACCCATGCAAGCATGCATGCACACCCATGCAAGCATGCATGCACACCCATGCAAGCATGCATGCACACCCATGCAAGCATGTCTGTGACGTGTCGTTGAGTTGCACGTGTCCCACTCAATATCAGCTGTTCTCTGTACTTGTGCATTCAAGCAAGCAAGCAAGCATGCATGCATGCATGGTGCCTACCTTCCTTCCATAGTAGTAACAGTACTGCCATCCTACCACATCCATTCTTTCTTATATTCTTCTGTCATCCCTCCCTTTTCCTATCTTCCTCTCCCCTTTCCTCTCTTTGTGTGTGCTTTGTCATCGTCATCAGAAGCAGCAGTACCAGCAGCAGCAGCAGCAGCAGCAGCAGTGAATGCTGCAGCAGAACGCAAGGCGAGGAAATAGACGCATACCAACAGGAAGGAGCCTCAGAAGAGTTCTCCATAGGTGGACTCCGCACCGAAGCTGTGGGTGCAGCAGCAGAATCAACACAGGGAGTTGATCGAGGCTCGCTCACACATTCTCCCTCCGCGTCCCTGCCACGTGTCGCTCTCCTATTAGATAGCAGCCGCTCCCGCTTACCTGCTGACGTGGCAGCACATATGGCGGCAGCAGTGGCAGCAGTAGAAGCAGAAGTGCAAGAAGCTCTCTGGGAGGTGCAGGAGCAGGGCGAGGGACGGTGGATGGGGCATGGGCAGGGGAAAGGAAGATGGAAGGGAGAGGAGGAAGCAGAGGAAGGAAAGGATAGTGAGGAAGGAAAGGAGAGTGAGGAAGGAAAGGAGAGTGGGGAAGTAGGGGACGGAGTAGCATCATCTGCTGCTCTAATCCAAGCTTCCTTTGCCTTACCCGCGCCTCATCCTCGTACTCTCCTTCGCCTCCTCGCCGCTCCTCCCCCTTTTCCCTCTCCTCCTCCTCCTCCTCCTCCTCCTCCTCCTCCTCCTCCTCCTCCTCCTCCTCGTTCTCCCTCTCCTCCTCCCCCACCTCCCCCTCCTTTCCCTCCTCCTCCATCTCCTCTACCCACCCCCACTCCTCTCCACTCCCTTTTTCCATCAAGCGTTGGCCGTTTTTCCCACACACCCAAACCAAACCACATCCCCCCGACACCCAGCTCTCATCCACAAACCATTTTCACCTCACACATATCTCAAACGCAGGCTCAGATGCAGATGCAGACGCAGACTCAGACACAAAATGACTCGTCTTCCTCCCACCCCATGGCCCTCCTCCCTCTTTCCCTCCTTCCCTTCACCCTCCTCCCCCTCCGCACCCCTCCCGTACAAAACGACCCCTCTCTTCTCAAACCACCAACCAAAAAGCCCCCCTTTCGCAAACCTCCCATCGTGAAACCCCCCCTGCCAAAGCGCCCCCCTGTCAGGAGAAAACCCCCCCGCCCCCCGCCCCGCCCCCCACCACCCCCTCCCAGCCCCCCACCTCCGCCCTCCCCTCCCCCTGCTGCCTGGTACCGCATGTTTGAAGCGGGGAAGCCTGTAAAGAGGATAGTGGTGGCGTATAATGGGCGGAACGCGAAGGTGGAAGGGAATAGCGTGAAGCTAACGTTTCAGCAGGGGACAGGAGGTGAGTCACAAACAAGAGTAAGGCGGGACAAGTCGATTATTGGAGCGTGCTGTCTTCCACTCCACTCCACACCGCGCTCTCCCTGCGCCTCTACCCAAACAAACAAGAGTAAGGGGGAGACCTCTGCTTTTCCTGTCCACTCCTACCGCCTCTGCTCCTCCTCCTTCTCAACTCCACCCTTCTGCCCATTCTTACTCCTACCTACCCCACCGCCCGACCGCGTCCCCCTTCACCATCCCAACCCCTCCCTCCATCTCTCCAGGCTCCCTATGGCAGTCAGCAGCGCCCTTCTCATCGGGTGTCTTCCACACTGCACTCTCCTGCCCCTCAGGGAATACCTCTGGCCTGCTCGTGTCCTTTGGGGTGAGTGCTGCCTCTCTGCTCAGGCTCCTGAGGCGGTATAAGGCGGTATGCTGCGGTATGGTGTGGTGTGGTTTGCTCCGGCCGTGCTTGTGTGGTATGGTGTGCTATGGTATGCAGTGCTGTGACTGACTGACAGGTGTGCGGGGTGGGGTATGGTTGCCGGGAATGTCTGCTGTACTGTGGTGTGGTGGCAGGTAGTGCGGTCTGCTGCGGTAAAGTGTGGTGCAGATGGTCTCCATACTACCCCCTCTTCTTTCCCTCACAGGGTAACCTTCACCCTGCTCGTTTTCCCCTCGCCCCAACCCTTTCCCTGCAGGTTACAGCCAATTTTCCAAGCAACAAACATTCTCTCCACATATAAGCCGTGTGTGATAAGTCGATTTTTTAGTCGACTCCGAAATCGACTTATCACACTCTTCTTTCCCTCACAGGGTAACCTTCACCCTGCTCGTTTTCCCCTCGCCCCAACCCTTTCCTCCTCCCCCCACACCCCTCGTTCCCCACCTTCCGTCCTCACCCCACTCCTCCCCCTCCAGCTGTCCAAATTCCAATGCCAGCAGCACAGGTCCAGCAGCGGGAGAGACATTGCGACCTGGTGAGAGCACTGCTCACCATGCAAAACCTTACCTTCCCCCCCGCCCCTCTTCATTCTCCCCTCCCCCCCCCCCCTCAGCTGTCCAACACCGGCAGCACGGGCCCAGCAGCAGGAGTGACATTCGACATGGTGGGCAGCAACAAGTCGGCACTGCTCGCCACTCCCTCCACAGCCGCTAGGTCCTATGAACCTCCCAGAACCCCTTTTTTCCCTACGGCGCTACCTCTCCCCTCCCCTTTCTCCCTCTCCAGCTGTCCAACACCGGCAGCACGGGCCCAGCAGCAGGAGTGACGTTCGACATGGTGGGCAGCAACAAGCAATTGCTGCTCGCCACACTGCACCGCAGCGGCAAGGCCTTTCCGACACAAGTGCCCCTCCCTTCGCCCTGTGACTCTGTTCCTGCCCGCCTCTCCCTCTACTGGGACGCCCATTATGTCTCGTGAGTTGACTGCGGTTGGGTTCAATTGACTGGAATGGAATAGAATTGAGTCGAGTCGATCCGAAATGACTTGAGCTGGTTTAAGTTGGTTCCAGGGGGTCTGCACACACCCATGTGCGCGTGCGTGCACACACACACACACCACACACACACACACACACACCCAGGGTAAAAGCCTCCTCCCCTCGCCCTGTGACTCTGTGCCTGCCTGCCTTCACCTTTACAGGGTCGCTCGTGAGTGAGTTGACTTGAGTTGACTTGATTTGACTATATTCAATTTCTGTTGTTGCATATTCATTCAGCAAAACACAACACAAGCATGCATGCATGTATGTTCAAAGAAGCACACGCGCATATGCAAATGCACCAGCACAGGCACCTCTCGCTGTCATGTCCTCCTGGCATAGCATGTTGTCTTGTCCCATACCCCCCATCCCACCCCCTTCCAACCCCCACCAGCTGGTACGTGAACCGCCAGTTGGTGCGCTACCTGCCAGTTCACATCTCCCACTTACATAGCCCATACCTGTCCCAACCCAAACCCCCCTCATCCTTGTCTCTCCCCCCCTCCTTCCCCTCCCCCCCCCCCCCCCCCACCAGCTGGTACGTGAACCGCCAGTTGGTGCGCTACTTACCGCGGTCCTCCTCGCCTCTGCGCTTCCCCGCTGTGCCCCTGATTCTCTTCGGCACCATCAAGGCTGCTGCACTCACCAACCTGGGGGCCTGGGCAGGCAAGATGAACGGTGACCCCCTTCCCAAGACCGCCATGTGGACAGGTGGGTGGGTGGGTGGGTGCGTGTGTGGGTGGGTGGGAAAATGGGTGGGTGGCTGGTTGTGGCTGTAAGTGTGTGTGTGTGTGTGTGTGTGCGTGCGTGTGTGTGAATCTCTGTGGAGTGCCCCTCTCTCTCTCACTCACCCCGTCGAACCCCTCTTCCTCCCCTCCTCCCCTCCTTGCAGGCATCGCCTCTATCACAGCGCTAATGGCGCGGTTAGGCGCCCCTCCCCCGCCGACTGCCCTGCCTGTTGTAAAATGGCCTGCAGCGCTGGGTCCCGTGGTGGGGCCTCTGGCCGTAGACTACTGCAGCGAGCACTGCTTGGGCTGCGAGGGGGGCACAGGTGGTGCTCAACTGCCACAAAACCCACCACACTGCACCCCATCCAACCCCTCTCCCCCTGTGCGTGCAGGTATCGCCTCTATCACGCCTCTCATGGCGCGGCTGGGTGCCCCTCCCCCGCCGACTGCCCTGCCTGTGGTGAAATGGCCTGCAGCTCTGGGTCCAGTGGTGGGGCCTCTGGCTGTGGACTACTGCAGCGAGCACTGCTTGGGCTGCGAGGGGGGCACTAGCGGCATGGCGACTATTCGATTCGACAACAAGTGCGGTGCGTCTTGCTGTGGCGTGCGTGCGTGCGTGCGTGCGTGCGTGTGTGCGTGCGTGCGTGTGTGTGTGCGTGCGTGCGTGCGTGCGTGCGTGCGTGCGTGCGTGCGTGCGTGCGTGCGTGCGTGCGTGCGTGCGTGCGTGCGTGCGTGCTTGCGTGCTTGCGTGCTTGCGTGCTTGCTAGCTTGCAGCAGCATTAATCAGTGTCCACCAGCGTTTCTTTCCGACAACCCTTTACTCACCCTCTTCCTCTGCACCTTTCTCTGTCCCTTCCTCTTCACCCCCCCACCCCCCCCCCCAACACACCAGGCTCGCGCTTCTGGTCACCGCAGCCCTTTGCGTTTGGCTTCTTCTCAGTTGACTTCACGTGCCCCTCCGGCCTCACCAGTGTCGCCCCTGCCCTGCCCTGCCCTTCCGTGCGCTGCCGTGCCATGCTATCCCCTCCCTCACGGCTCACTCCCTCCAGGCTCGCGCTTCCGGTCACCGCAGCCCTTTGCGTTTGGCTTCTTCTCAGTCGACTTCAAGTGCCCCTCCGGCCTCACCAGTGGCCTCGTCTCCAGCTTCTATGTATGTCGCCCCTGCCCTGCCCTGCCCTGCCCTGCCCTGCCCTGCCCTGCCCTGCCCTGCCCTGCCCTGCCCTGCCCTGCCCTGCCCTGCCCTGCCCTGCCCTGCCCTGCCCTGCCCTGCCCTGCCCTGCCCTGCCCTGCCCTGCCCTGCCCTGCCCTGCCCTGCCCTGCCCTGCCCTGCCCTTCCCTGCCCTGCCCTGCCCTGCCCTGCCCTGCCCTGCCCTTCCCTGCCCTGCCATGCCATACCATTCCCTGCCATTCCTTGCGCTACCTTCAGAATACCATGCTTATTGCTCCTGTGGAACGCTGGTTAACGAGTGGCCTTTGACCCGGCTTCCAAAGTGCCTCTCAAATGTCACTGGCTTACCAGCAGCCTTGTCTCTACTCTACTCTACCCTCTTCCATGTGACTCACCCCCCCTGTGCCATGCATCCTGCTACTCTTGCTCCTCTCTCAGCCCCCTTCCTGCCCTGCCCTCCAGCTATCTATCCGCACAGAGGACATCAGCAGGGGGATTCATCAGTAGAAGCCCCTTCTTGCTCGATGACATCTGCTCCCTGTCCTTGCTCGACTGTCCGTCTCCCTGTCCCGTCCACCTTCCACTCCCCCACACATTCCTTCATCCCCCCCACCACACCCACCCCCACCGCCCCCCCCTTTCCCCCCTTCCCGTTCCCATCCCCCGCGCCCCAGCTATCCACGCAAGGAGGCAGCAGGAGGCAGGACGAGATCGGCTTTTGAGTCGACTCAAACGTCCACTACTCCCACCCATCTCCACCAGCGTTGGCCCCCTCCCGTCCCCTTCCCTACCCCGTCCTGCAGCTATCGACGCAGGAGGGCAGCAGGAGGCAGGACGAGATCGACTTTGAGTGGCTGGGCAAGAGCAACGCGCACGTGCAGACCAACTACTATGTGGCCGGCACGGGCCACCACGAGGGCTGGCACACCCTCGGCTTTGACTGCTCCAAGGCGTTCCACAACTATGCCATTCTCTGGACCGCTGCCCGCATCGTGTGAGTGCAACTGGCTGGCACCACCATTGGGTGCAGCTTGGTAGGGCTGGCACGCTTGTGGGCCACCACAAGGGCTGGCACACCCTCGGCTTTGATTGCTCCAATGCGTTCCACAACTGTGCCATCCTGTGGACCGCTGCCAGCATCGTGTGAGTGCACCTGGCACCACCATTGAACACATCTCAGTAGGGTTGGCACACTCTCGACTTTGATTGCTCCAAGGCGTTCCACAACTACGCCATCCTCTGGACCACTGTCCGCATCGTGTGAGTGCAGCTCGGTTTGGTTTGGAGAGTGCAGCAGCTCGGTTGGTGGGTTGGCATGGCCTTGTGTGCCTTTCCGTGGACTGCTAATTGCATTATGTGAGAGCTTGTTGTCACCCTGTTGGTACGCAGTTGGGGGACATAGGTTTGTCGTGTCAAGTGTGTGACCAATGCTTCCCTAGAGCTGATTCTTACGACCCCTTTTAGTTGGAGTCTGTGTATGGAATGGATGCATTCGTCCCTTCAGTGTTCCCACCAAGTTGAATTTATTCTGGGCCTTTAAATCTTTGTGCAGGTGGTTTATTGACAGAGTCCCTATACGAGAGGTGGTGAACAATACAGCATTATCAACTGAACCGTATCCTTCCAATCCTTCTTTCCTCTATGCTAGTGTTTGGGATGCAAGTCAAATAAGTCGAGGGTTGTGGTCAGGGAAACGGGCCCGTAGGACAATAGGAAATCGTGCATGGAAGGTGTTTGCCAGATACAAGAACATCAAAGTAGTGTCTCCTTTGTTTTGATAAGTAGAAATGGAACACTTACCTACAAGTTGTTTTTGTTGTACAGAAAGTATCGTCCTTGCAACTTACTGTTTTTGTCGAATGGTAGTGGTGGACGTCCTCTGGGTTCTCCGAACCGAACACTCTGCACAACCCAGACTGACATGGCACGTGCCATGTCATCAATCTGTGACCACCTCATCTCGCTGCTACCGAACCAAAAGCCTCCCACACACACTTGCTTCCCGGCACTTTCTGGCGCCTTCCTTCAACCCGTGTCCGCGTTCACCACATTCTTCGCGCCTTTCAAATCCCCTGTACGCAACGAAGGATTCTCGAGGCGCAGTCGTCCCGCTAACGCGTTTCCAGTCACAATTCCGAAACCCAAGTCAGTTACTACGCTTGTCGAAACCAACTCGCCCGTGACGACGTTCGCCGGAACCGGAATCAGGGTTCCCTTTTCTGCCCAAACGCAATCTCTGCTCCTGGCCCTCCAATAACAAATTTCCCACTTCCTCGGTTTCATCCTGGGCCCTCCGTGACAGTGACCCCTTTCAGAGAGGACTTCGATGTTTCATCCTGGTCAAAACCCTAACCAAACCAAGCAGCGCGGGTTCCAGCAGTGCAACACGAATCCCCCCAATCCCGTGTTTCTCCGCGCGCTTGCCTGCCGTGCTCGTTGCCCGGTGCAGCCCTGCTACGGGCTTCCACTTCCCCCTTCCGCCAGTCTCTCCCCCGTTTATATTCCCCATCCATACCCTCTATTCCTCCCCCTGGTCACAATCCCCCGCCAATCTTCCCCGTCACTCTCCCCCCCCACTCGTTACTCACCCCCGCCCTTCACCTCGGTTCCTCTCTCCCAGCAGCACTCCATCCATCCTTGCTCCGCCCCCTGCCTGCTGCTCGCTCACTCCCTGCCTCCCTCTCTCTCTCCTCCCCCATCCCCCCTGTCCCACCCAATCCAACCCCACCTTGCCTCGTTGAGAGCCTCCCTCACCATCCGTTGCTCTCCGCAACGGTCAGCTTGTCATGTCCAGTGTCAACTCCCACTAGGTTCCTAGTAGGGTCCTGAAAGGGGTCTGTAAACCCCTTCTGCGATCTCGCGAGGTTGGCTCAGCGATCGTCCGGAGTCGATTAGTAGGACTCCTCCCGTCTGCGACTCTTTTGCGATCGGCTGTCGGGGTTTCTGAAGGTCTCGAAGGTGGTTACCCCTCGGACATCGCAGTGTCGGAAAACAACCCAGTTAGTACACTCTTGTTTCCCTAAGGATCAGGTCGATCTGTGTTCGAAGCTGCTTGTCGATAACAACTGCTGGTCGATCGGGAGATAGCGAAAATGGCGACGAGTCAAGTCTAAGTCTATTTCGACTTTTTATCAATCGATGTCCGATGTACGTTCTCGATCTGCTATTTGTCCTTCGGTGATTTGCATTTGGTTTCTCCTGCTTTTGTCCGACTCCCGGCTTGCTTTTGTCCCTTCACGTTGACCTCTTTTTTTGTTGGAATGCTAGGGTCGTTTTTACGTCTTGTTAATTTCTGTGCCTGGAATGGTTGTCCCCTAAGTAAGTCATGTCCAACGTTTCTCTGCTTCCTATGGCGGCAGGTAGTGACGACGATGTGTCCTCAGGTCGTTTCTATTCCTGGTTTTTTTCTCCCCAGTACAATTTCATTCTATTTTTTTGTTGACCCTTCATCCATCCTTCACTATTGTTTTGGATTTGCATGTGCAGCAGCAGGGGATGGTGAGCGAGTCCCCCATTCGAAGAACAGCGTTTGCTGCCGTCATGGAAGCGGAGGCACCAGAGAAGCTGGTGGCACGGGTTGGACGGAGTCATCAAAGATATGCGGAAGGGGTTCGTCTCGTTGCTGGGTCAGCCCTTCTTCCTGTCGTTTGCTCTTCCTGTCATCAAATTGCTACTCGCTAGCTGTAGCACCAAACGACCGTGATTTTTTATATGCTGATTAAACTCGCCTTTTCCTCCATTTCACTTCATTCTGTGAACACCCCTGCTTATTTATCCGCCATTCCGGGTCACCTTTGTTTCGTTTCATTATCTTGAATTTCCGGTTGACGTAGCTTTTGCTGCCGGTGCAGGTGCATTCCCTTCCGCGTTCTTAACGAGGATCAGGACGGCAGACAAACAACAGATCAGCTTCAAGTTCTAATGATCACATCGCAACATGGCGAAGGCTTAATATTTCCAAAGGTGCGTGAAGCTAACCTTCTCTGTTCAGACCCTGCTAGTTTTTGGTTCCATAAGACGGAAAACGAAGATCCTGTCATTGCTTGCCGTCATCACGCTCTTTCAGATGTTTGATGTTTGCGTTCGTCTCTTTCAACAGGGTGGCTGGGAGACGGATGAGACTGCTGAACAGGCTGCTTGCCGAGAAGCTATGGAAGAAGCTGGGGTTCGAGGGATTATACAGGTCGGATGGCTCAATGACCATGCCAGTTTGAGATTATTAAATCATCAGAAGCAGCTGCATTATTTTTCATGAAGATTGTTGATCGCCTTATTTTCTTGCTCTTTATCGCGGCACCTTAAGCAGAGTCTGACGGCCTTTTGCGTTATCTGCCCTGCGGTTGTGTCATACAGGGCAGAATAGGTTCGTGGATGTTTAAGAGCAAGCGATTACGCACGGCGGAGTGTAAAGACGGCGAGTGCTGTGCGCACATGTTCAGCCTTGCCGTGACCGAGCTGCTCACTGTCTGGCCCGAAATGAGCCGCCGTAGCCGTCACTGGGTGCGTCGCGTGTGCGCTTTGCCGAATCAGCTCATCAGTAGCCTCCTGTTCCCGATTTCTTCCTCGTCCCGGCCATCGCTATTTCCCTCTGCCGTTTTTCTCCATGGCTCCCTGAGTGCAATTCAATAATGCTCCTCGTCTTTCCCCTTTCCCGATGCCCCTTTGCCATGCACTCATGATGGATGGGGCGGATGATCATTTTGATGTGGGGTTAAATGATTGTGCTGGTGGCATTTATTTGCATGGTGCTTGTTCAGGTGTCAATACCAGAGGCCATACAGCGGTGTAGGCATGATTGGATGAGGGATGCTCTGAGGCAGTGGTGTGACCAGCAGCAGCCAGTTTTTAAGCTTCCACCTGCCTGATCCTTCGTATTCCCCTTACACACGCCCACGTTCCTCCTCCTCTCAATTCCGATCCTCCCATCATGTGGATCTGGTCTTGCTACACTTGTAGCACCCAGTGCATTTCACATGAATCCCTTACCTTTGCCCCATCATCTGCCTCTGTATGTCTATGTATTACATCCTGCATAGTTGTGCTGCTGCAGGGGATTCTCTTTCGCCCTCACGTTGCCTTGCTCCCCCTATTCGCGTCTTCCACTCACCTTTTTCTACTGGCTTGATACCAGTACCACGCTACGTAGGTGGCAAGTTATTGCATCGGGCTTTGTTATCCTACTCTCTTGCTCTCCACCTGCTGATAGGAGGTGTGCAAAGCAAGCTCTTGTGCGGGCAGGAATGAATTAGGGCAGAAAGGCATGCGGCCGCTAATTCTTGTGCGCACCTGTAAGTAGTAGCATTGTATCCATTTGGTACTAACTTTTAGAAATGTATCCATGTACGCCCACAATCTCATTGTATTTTGGCCTCCGATTTTCAACCAATCTTAATCCTGACAATTATTGGTTTCAACCAAGTGTTTGTGCTTTCAAGCATTGGTATTGCTCAGGGTTGATCTCAGGGTATTGCACTGCACAGGGGAAAGTTGCCCTGGTAGTGATACCAGAGTGAAGGTAAAATACCGTAACACAAATGACCAAAACAAATAAATACATAGGTTTAATAAGCGAAGATAAGAAGCCCAGTGAAAAGACAGCAATTTGAAAGGTCGTAGCTAACCATATTTCAAAGGGTACATTCCCTTGTTACAGCTACATTTCATTTCAATTCAAACTGTTCCCAAATCCCGCACATGTTTCTGCCAGCAGCGGTCTGGATCGTAACCGCCTTACAAGACCCTTTGGTGCATCGTGTCCCTTAGTATTCGTACTCGGTAGGGTCTGCCTTTGTTTCAGGAATGCCTCTGTTAAGGTAGTTTAGGGTCTGCCTCTGTTGTTGTGTAATTTAGTATCGTAACAGTTTGTGTAATTCTGTAACTAGGGTGTTTTGGTCTGAGATACAGGTATATATAATTTGTTGCTAAAGGTGCTGAATTTCATCTTCGCTGTGATGATGCGTTACTAGCACCTCTGAACCCCACCTCACACTTGTCACTGAAACTTGGGGGATGCGGCTGCGGCTGACGCATGGACACGTATATACAAGCGCGTCTGACGTGTCCAAATTTCTCCCATCGTGTTGTCTAAAAAAATGTTTTGTTCCTTCGTTTGTCCAGAGCTAGTTTCCGATTTCGGGCACATTGGAATGTCTGTTTCAGCGCAGAATGAGGTACACCTTACTTCTTCCCCTTATTTTCTTCTTTCCCACCACATTTTTTTGTTTTGTGATGACACCCAGTCATACCCACATGGAGCGGCTTGAGGAGGGCGTATTTCAACCGCATATTTCACACGCGTCGCCCATCTTAGTTGCGGCAAGTCATTGGGGGGGCATCTCTCCGTCTCCATGATTCCAGTTGCTTCCACCCGCACAACACCTACGTTACCAAGATTGCGTAGACCGCTTCCGCGTAAGAACCGACTGTGAACATGTCGCACCGTCTGAAAACTTTACTAAAACCAATTCCACCTCATTGCCCTCCCCCCCCCCCTCCCCGCGCCCGCGTTTCACAATCCGTTCTTTGCGGATACGGCCGCCCTTTTCACCCGTGACAACTGAGAAAGAACGTGCAGAACCATTTTGAAACGCACCTAAAATCCCACCATACCGCACCATCCACCTCATGACTGGTCCTTCATCTCTGTTGGGGCGGAGGTCCACATGCAGCATCTGTCGCGCTCGTTAGGTTGGGGGAAAGGAGGACGTGTCGTAAATTCAGATGATGGGTGTGGTTGAGAGAGATACAATACGTTTCAATGTCACTTGAACCGGTTCAGAAGCTGACACTCTGATTCAAGCTGCACTGTGTAATTTACAAACACTTCAAAGTGTTTTACACACCAGAAATTCCGGCCCTCGAGGAGCAAGTAGGGAGGCTCGAGGAATTCACGGAGGGCGAGACCCCCCTCGCCTCGCCTGCCTTTTCCGTTGTTCACTCGCTTGCTTATCCCGCGCCATCGCTGGCTGGTTGGTGGTGAAGCTGTTTGTGCTCTGTCTGCCTGCCACTGATCTGTGTTGTTCGGTCCATCACTCTCCGCTGTAATCCCCTCCGGCCTCCGCTCCTCTACCAACAAGGCAAGGCAAGGCAGCCGCCTCTCCGCCTTTGCCCATCTCCCCTCGCAGCGCATCACCTTCTCGTTCGGTCTTCCAATCAGCGTCCGACACAAGTCGTTGTCGTCGTGGTCGTCGTCTCGCCTCACACTCTCACACACCTCTTCTCCTTCATCATCCTCCTCATCATCATCGCATCTCACCGCGTCGCGTCAGATCGCCTTACCCAATCTCCTTTCCGCATCATCCATCGCACCTACCTTATCACCTTCTTCCGCTGCTGTATCTTCGTCAGCACTAGCGCCTCGAACGCTCCAATCTCTATCTGCCTCTCTCCCGTTCTCTTTCAATTCGCGCCCTCTCTGTCCGCCCATAGAATAGAAGTCCCTTCCTCGTCATTCCTAATCTCTATACCTTCCCCCACATCAACCTTCTCTCTGTCTCGCTCCCTGCTCAGCCCCCCTTCGTCTTCGGCCCTTACCGCACGCTTCAAGCTTAGGCGCCTAAGTTATTAATGATTCACCAGCATTCACGCGGCGCCTTTCGTCCTGGATTGTCCTCTGAAGTTACTAAAAAAAGTTGCTCCCTTTCTTAGCGCGGGGATGAGTCGAGGCACTTGAACAAGCCGATAGATACACCACTCGAGCAGCAGCAGCAGCAGCGGCAGCAACGGTAGCAACGGTAGCAGCCCATCTAAGAATTGGCAGCGCGTGTCATTCATAGCCTACTTCGTAGCGTCAATCGTAGCGGCATTGGTCACATCGGAACCGTCATTCGTAGCATCACACCCGGAGCATAGCCCTTAGCATCACCGTAGCTCCGCTCTTAGCTCCGTTCCTAAGACTACCGTTCTGCGGCCATGGCGGCACGCGTGGCGCCTCTGGGCTCTACGCTCTCGATTCGGCCTTCCTTGTCCTCCCGCGCCGCCTCCCATTGTAACTGCTCACGGGCAACGCTTGGCAGGCCGCATAAGACGTCTCTGGCGGCGGCTGTTACCGCAGCTCGTAACTCGGCTTGCAACGGAAGCTCTTCGAATCAGCAACAGCTCCATCACCATAATCGCAATCGGCATTGGCATCAGCAGCAGCAGCAACCACTTTTGCAGGTAGGTCCCAGTGTCTGGGTCGACTCAAGACTGAGTTCGGCATGTGAAGCTTCTCAAGGCCCGTCTGATGCAATTTAACAAGGCATATTGAGACGACGTCTTATAATCTGACTCACTCTCATCGCGTGCGTGCTTAAAATTTCGTGTATTTTCGTTGGAATTTCTCTGAATCACCCTGTTACCAGCAGCAATTTCGGTTCTAATTGCTTTTAGGTGACAAATAGTAGCTTCAGGCTCTGCCAAAGTGTATGTAACGTCACGTCCTCGCGACTCCCCTCATATCTCTCTCTCTCTCTCTCTCTCTCTCTCTCTCTCTCTCTCTCTCTCTCTCTCTCTCTCTCTCTCTCTCTCTCTCTCTCTCTCTCTCTCTCTCTCTCTCTCTCTCTCTCTCTCTCACACACACACACATCTTCCCTTCCTCGCAAATACTCGCGTGTGCGCGTCCTTCTCTCCCACGCAGCTCCCAGCATTTTTCCACTGCGCGCCGATTTCCCCGCACGGTACTGGCGCAATTCTCCCTGCGCGTGTCATCCGCACTTGCGCGCGCTTCCCGACCGTCCCCGCAATCGCCGCCGCCGCTACCGGCCCCGTTTCCCCCGGCGCTTCTCGCGGCCCGCAACCCCCTTCCGCCACATCCGGGGCCGCTGCGCCCACTGCAACCATCGCCGCCGCCGCCTCCGCCGCTGCGTCCGCCGCCGTCGAAACCGCCGCTGGTGCCATCGCTACCGCCGTAGCAGCGCTCGATCTGGAGGCGCAAAAGGCGCCGCAAGTGGCGCCGAAAGCTCCGCCTACGGATTCACGGAACACAATCACCGTGAGAAGCCCAGTGGGAGTGGACGAGCCGCCGTTTCTGCGGGCGCGGTTGACGGAGCGGCCTGTACCGGGTCAGGCGCGGTGGCAGCCGCCTGCGGGGCAGCCGAGCCGCTGCTTCCTGCCACGTCCGCTGACGTACAGCTCGAGCATTGATGACGTGGATCCTGACGAGGTGAGCGGAGATAGGTAGTGGGGGAGCGATGGAGGCGGCTCATTGGAAGGCTTGCTCACGAATCTTATAAAGTGTTTAACTTATAAACTCTAAACTTTAGAGCTTCAGATGAAAGGGAAAACGATGGGGTGGTGGGGGGGGCGGAGGTGGGAGAGGAAGGGGGAGAGGGGGGGGGCGTGGGGGAAGGAGGTGCGGCTGAGGGTTAGGGAAAGGGGGATTGTTATGGCCCAGGGGGGTGTGGGGGAGTCGGGGGAAGTTGTTCTTTCGAAGCGAGCTTGTGAAGGGAGCATTGTAATGATGGGGATGAGGATGAAGGCATGAGGGTAGCGAACAAGTCGAATGCACACACAAGAGTGAGGAGAGGAGAGGAGAGGAGAGGAGAGGACTGATGATGGATGGATGTTCTAAAACGCGGACGCTCCGCAAGTTCGAATTGAAAATTCCGGCTCCGCCCCTCCGTTGTCTCCCATTGCCACACGCCCCCACCACTTGCATAACACCAAGCCTTTCATGCCATTCATGCCATGCCATGACATGCCATGCAGCATGCTCGTGCCGCCCCCTTTTGCTGCGCCTCCCTCGAAACGTGGCGTGTCGCACCCTAAACCCTTGAAGAGGAAGGGAGCGGGCTTTCGAGGCGCCTCAACATTCGCCCCGTTCCTCCTCCTCCCCCTCCCTTCCCCCCCGAACCTCTCCCCCACCCTCCTACTTTTCCCCTCTCCCCACGTTCCCCCTCCCCCCCCCCCCCCCCCCCCCACCTCTCCCACGGGCTTTGGAATCGCTTCAATAATTGCCTCCCTTCCCTCGTCCGCCTCTTTCCTCCCCGCTCCCCTTTCCCCTTCCCCATTTCCTCTTTCTTTCCCTCCCCCCTTGTGGTGCTCTCTCCCCATCAGATAGCGCATGTGTGGCCCGCACGCTCAAGGTGGACAGGGAGCCAAGGAAGGTGATGAAGGCCATGCGCCACAGGCAGGCACCTATCCTTCACTCTCCCCCCTCTCTCGCCATGCCATGCTCATGCCCCCCTGCTCTCCCCTCTCAACCTCCCCCTCCCCCTCCCCCTCCCCCCCCCCCCCTCCCCCTCCCCTCTCCCCCTCCCCTCTCCCCTTTCCCCCGGCTCCTCCCCCATCAGATAGCGCATGTGTGGTACCGCACGCTCAAGGTGGACAGACCCTCGAAATACTCTCCCCTTCTCCCTTCTCCCCGCTCACAACCTCCCCCCCCCCCCCCCCTTGTGGTCCCCTGCCCCCATCATCAGATAGCGCATGTGTGGTACCGCACGCTCAAGGTGGACAGACCGGCTAGGAAGGTGATGAAGGCCATGCGCCACAGCTACTCGGTGCGTGCTGCTGCTGCTGCTGCTGCTGCTGCTGCTGCTGCTGCTGCTGCTGCTGCTGCTGCTGCTGCTGCTGCTGCTGCTGCTGGTGTTTGTTATATCTGCCACGTGTTTGCTATTAAGCTACTTCATGCATGATGGATTAAGGATGTGTCGTTCCTCTGGGATGATGGATTACGGTTCATGCATGCATGCGTGCTTCCGTGCTGTTCTGATGCGCGCTTTTCACTCAACTACTCTGTCTGTGCACGGTGCTGCTGCTCTGTCGTTCTCCCCCTCTCATCCCTTTCTCCCCCCTTCCTCCCATCCCCCCCCCTCTCCCACCACCCCTCTCTCCCCCCTCCGCCACCCATCAGATCGTGGTGGTAATGGACGAGTCCTAGCGCAGCCTCTCAGGCCAACAATTGGGCCTCCTTGGTCCCCCCAACAGCCTCAAATGCCCCAGCCTCCCTTGCTTGCCCCCCCCATTGTCCCCATCTCGCCACTCATCAGATCGTGGTGGTAATGGACGAGTCGCAGCGCAGCCTCTCAGGCAAACGCGGCAAGACCATTGGTGAGCGAGAGCATTCACGCCCTTGTTCTCTTCTCTTTACCATGCCTATGATTGTGCTGCTGGTCACACATGTCTATGATGAGAACTTGTGCCTTGTGCCTTCTGCGATAACCAATGGACTCCTTTCGCCCTTCACCCCTTCCTCCTTTCCCCCATTCTCCCCTCCCCCTTTCCCCTTTCCCGCTTCCCTTCCCCCCCTCCTCCCCCTTTCCCCCTGCCACCTTTCCTCCCTCTCCCCTTTCCCCCCCCATTCCCCCGTTCTCTCCCTGTCTCGCTGTATCAGGTGTGGGACGAGCCATATCCGATGGATCCTTTGTGGTGAGTGCGGCCCTTCTTAAGTCCCTCTCTCTCATAGCCCCTTTCTCGTTCCCTCCCTCGTCCATATCCTCTTCCCCCCCCTTCCCCACCCAATTCCCCCGGTTTCCACCTTCCCGTTTTTCACCGTTACTCCTTCCAATCTCCCACCTTCCCCCTTTTCCTCCCCCCTCTTCTTATCTTTCCGTCCCAAACTCTCATGCTCTATCCGTTTCGTGTCGTTCTCTGAAATCGCCATCGCGCCTGCCTTTCCTCTGTGCATGTCCTATGCAATGCAATGCAATCCGCTGCACTGCACTGCACTGCAATGAAATGCACACCTGATCCCTGTCGTTCATTCATAGGAAGCCATTCAACAGATGGAATGCCACATGGTTTCTTTCTCCCGTGTCATGTCCAGCGCCCATCTCCACCCTTCTTAGGGCCTCTACCATTCCATCCATGATCCATCCCTCCTCTCCTTTGCCTATGCCTCTTTCCGCCCTCCTCCAACCTCCCCTCCTTCACCCCTCCTGTATTTCCCGTGGGCACCCGTCCCTACTCTATTAACTCCACTCTAGCTGCTAGCTAATGCCGCTCCCCCCCTCAACCTTCCTACCCTCCCGGGCGTCTTATCCCCTCCAGGCCACTATATGCGATGTGGCAGTGTTGCCAGAGTATCAGCAGAAGGGCGTGGGAAGACGAATCGTCAGGAAGCTGATCCAGGTGAGGAGCGGCTGAAGAGCAGTGAGGAGCGGTAAGGAGTGGTGAGTAGTGGTGGGGGCAGCGGAATTACAGCTTTTCTCTCTTTTCCCTTCCTATCAACCCACACACCCACCCTCCCAACCTCTGATTACGAGTTTGTTTTGAGCCCAGCCTCTGTAGCTTGATACACTGTAGCTTAATACACTGTAGCTTGATACACTGTAGCTCGATACACTGTAGCTCGATACACTGTAGCTTGATACACTGTAGCTCGATACACTGTAGCTCGATACACTGCAGCTTGATACACTGTAGCTTGATACACTGTAGCTTGATACACTGTAGCTTGATACACTGTAGCTTGATACACTGTAGCTTGATACACTGTAGCTTGATACACTGTAGCTTGATACACTGCAGCTTGATACACTGCAGCTTGATACACTGTAGCTTGATACACTGCAGCTTGATACACTGTAGCTTGATACACTGTAGCTTGATACACTGTAGCTTGATACACTGTAGCTTGATACACTGTAGCTTGATACACTGTAGCTTGATACACTGTAGCTTGATCTTCTTACCACACACGCTCACACAGTGTATCTTCTTCCTTCTCTCTTCCAATGTCATCCCGATTCCTATGTCATTCTCTCAGGACATGCAGCGAAGGGGACCCAGTGGTTATGCAGTCTTCCCCCCTCCGCTCGCACGCCGCTTCTTCTGGATGATGGGCTTCAGGTGAGCTCCCAGGTGACTTCAGACGAGCTAATGTGGCTCCAGGTGAGTGGCTCAAGTGGCTCAGGCGAGCCCTGAGGTGGAATGGCCTCCTGTTGCTAAATCTGATTCGTGCTCACTCGTTTTGCCAGACGCCCTGCTAGCCGCAAACTCGCAAGTCCCCAAGGGTGCGTGCGCAACCAAGGCAAAGTCGTTTTGCCAGACGACCTGGAAATGAATGAACCCCTCTGATCCAGCTTCTCTATCTGCGTTTCAATCTGAGAGAGTGGCGTGGCATCGTTTGCTTCCATTTCGCCCTCTCTTTATGCATTCCCCACTCCCCTGTCAGATATGAACACAAGTACAGTCTCATAGCCTAGCCTGCCATGGGCAGCTGGTGGAGCCTGCTGCCTGATTCAGCCCACTGGCACTCCTGCTGCTGCTCATCTGGCCTCTCTCCTTTCCTCCCTCCCCAAACACACCCATTCTTTCAGATACGAGCGCAAGTATAGCCTCATGGCATACCACGGCCAGCTCATGGAGCCTTCTCCTTGTGACCCTACTGCCGCTGCTCCTGCTGTTGTTGGTGCTTCTGCTGGTGGCTCTGCTGCTATGTCTTACTCGGGAAGGGTGGATGGCGGCGGAGGGGAGGTGGTTTGAGGAGAGGAGGAGCGGATGAAGCGGAACAAAAGAGGGGAAGTCTGCCTTTTCAACAGGAAGAGGAGCAGTGGCAGGAGGAGTGGAGTAGGAGGAGGAGGAGCATAGGAGCAGCTCACGTTTGCGTTGAGTAGACTGAAAATTGAGGAGGGGGATGAGTAGCACAGCAACAGCTGGTGCTCATGTTGGTGTTGGTGGGTTCTAGTGCTGCTGGTGGTGCTGCTGGTGGTGAGGGAAACAGCGGGAAGAGACAGAGGCTCTTTGTGACATGTGGTGTTGCAGAGATTTGTGTGCATATACAGTGTGACAGAGAGTGGTACCTAGGTAGGTATGCAAGGTGACTGTGATGGCTTGATGTGGTGGGTGGAAAAATGTGATCGTCCTGTTGTCTTGTGGGATCGTGGGATGCATGCATGAGTAGGCATGTGTGATTGCGCATGCATGATTTGACATGAGGCAAAAGGGGGATTGTGGTATATATGTTTTTTGTCTCGTTGGGAATAAAGGAAGCTACAGAAAGTTGGTGGAGGTCTATTGCTCTCCAATATTTGTTTATAGATTTCGAGCTAGTTTGAGCATGGGATATTTCTTGAACAGCTGTTTTGATTGGTTGCCCAATAAACTGTAATTGCCCTTGTGGAGCAGCTGTCTTCAAATCAAATTAAATTAAATCCACCACGTCCTTGCTTGTAGTCTTCAAATCAAGCCAACTCACCGCCCTTCCTCCCACATCTGCTCCTCCCACATCTGCTCCTCCCAACCACTCCCCGTCACTCACCTCGCCAGTCCCCAACCTCTCCTTTCCCTTCCCCTCACACCTTGACGCGTGTGGCAAGGAACACAGAGCCCTTATCGCCCCTCGTCACCCGCAGCTTGTGTAAGGAGATGGCTTATGCGAGGTGGTCTCACACGCCAGCCCCCTCCGCTCCCCCTTTCCCTTCCCCTCACGCCTTGACGCGTGTGGCAAGGAACACAGAGCCCTTATCGCCCCTCGTCATCCCCACCTCCCCAACCATTCTTCGCACTGTCCCTCCAGCCCCCACCCTCCCCTCTGCCTCCGCTCCCCCTTTCCCTCCCCTCACGCCTTGACGCGTGTGGCAAGGAACACAGAGCCCTTATCGCCCCTCGTCATCCCCACCTCCCAACCATTCTTCGCACTGTCCCTCCAGCCCCCACCCTCCCCTCCGCCTCCGCTCCCCCCTCCCTTCCCCTCACGCCTTGACGCGTGTGGCAAGGAACACAGAGCCCTTATCTCCCCTCGTCACGCGCATCTCCTCATCAATGTATGTCACGTCGATCCACCTGCAGGAGGGAGAGTGAAAGAGGGAGGTGGTACGGAACACATGACGTCACATGACCCTTATCCAGCAGTCAGTATTCCCCGTATCGCCCCTCGTCACGCGCATCTCCTCATCGATGCATGTCGCGTCGATGCACCTGCGAGAATTGGCAAGTAAGGGGAAGGGTAATGAGGCTGGTAGGGAACACATAACCTGCAAGAATTGGCAGGGAACATGCAGCCCTTATCGCCCCTCGTCGCTCGCACCTCCTCATCGATGCATGTCATGTCCATGCACCTGCATGCATTGGGAAGTAAGGTAAGGGGAGGAGGGAGGGAGGGAGGGAGGGAGGGAGGGAGGGAGAGATGAAGGGAGAAGGGTGGACGGGTGAGAAGAAAGGAGAGAGGGAGTATGTCAGGTCGATGCACCTGAATGCATGGGGAGTAAGGGGAGGAGTGCGGACGGGAGAGAGTGGGGATGAGAGCGTGGAGGGGAGAGTGTGGGAGGGACAGGGGGCAACAAGGAACACAGACTCTTTATTGGACAGCGGGAGGGAGGGGTGAGGGTGTGAGAGAGGGAGAGACGGTGGCATGAATCAGCCTTGTCAGCCTTGTCAGAACCCATGGGATGGGCCGCTTGTCAGCCTTGCCAGCCTTGCCAGCCTTGCCAGCCTTGCCAGCCTTGCCAGCCTTGCCAGCCTTGCCAGCCTTGCCAGCCTTGCCAGCCTTGCCAGCCTTGCCAGCCTTGCCAGCCTTGCCAGCCTTGCCAGCCTTGCCAGCCTTGCCAGCCTTGCCAGCCTTGCCAGCCTTGCCAGCCTTGCCAGCCTTGCCAGCCTTGCCAGCCTTGCCAGCCTTGCCAGCCTTGCCAGCCTTGCCAGCCTTGCCAGCCTTGCCAGCCTTGCCAGCCTTGCCAGCCTTGCCAGCCTTGCCAGCCTTGCCAGCCTTGCCAGCCTTGTCCAGCCTTGCCAGCCTTGTCAGCCTTGCCAGCCTTGCCTGCCAGCCTTGCCAGCCTTGCCAGCCTTGCCAGCCTTGCCAGCCTTGCCAGCCTTGCCAGCCTTGCCAGCCTTGCCAGCCTTGCCAGCCTTGCCAGCCTTGCCAGCCTTGCCAGCCTTGCCAGCCTTGTCAGCCTTGCCAGCCTTGCCAGCCTTGCCAGCCTTGCCAGCCTTGTCAGCCTTGTCAGCCTTGCCAGCCTTGCCAGCCTTGCCAGCCTTGCCAGCCTTGTCAGCCTTGCCAGCCTTGTCAGCCTTGCCAGCCTTGTCAGCCTTGCCAGCCTTGTCAGCCTTGCCAGCCTTGTCAGCCTTGCCAGCCTTGTCAGCCTTGCCAGCCTTGCCAGCCTTGCCAGCCTTGCCAGCCTTGCCAGCCTTGTCAGCCTTGCCAGCCTTGCCAGCCTTGTCAGCCTTGCCAGCCTTGTCAGCCTTGCCAGCCTTGTCAGCCTTGCCAGCCTTGTCAGCCTTGCCAGCCTTGTCAGCCTTGCCAGCCTTGCCAGCCTTGCCAGCCTTGTCAGCCTTGCCAGCCTTGCCAGCCTTGCCAGCCTTGCCAGCCTTGCCAGCCTTGTCAGCCTTGCCAGCCTTGCCAGCCTTGCCAGCCTTGTCAGCCTTGCCAGCCTTGTCAGCCTTGCCAGCCTTGTCAGCCTTGCCAGCCTTGTCAGCCTTGCCAGCCTTGTCAGCCTTGCCAGCCTTGTCAGCCTTGCCAGCCTTGCCAGCCTTGTCAGCCTTGCCAGCCTTGCCAGCCTTGTCAGCCTTGCCAGCCTTGCCAGCCTTGCCAGCCTTGCCAGCCTTGTCAGCCTTGTCAGCCTTGCCAGCCTTGTCAGCCTTGCCAGCCTTGTCAGCCTTGTCAGCCTTGCCAGCCTTGTCAGCCTTGCCAGCCTTGTCAGCCTTGCCAGCCTTGTCAGCCTTGCCAGCCTTGTCAGCCTTGCCAGCCTTGTCAGCCTTGCCAGCCTTGCCAGCCTTGCCAGCCTTGTCAGCCTTGTCAGCCTTGCCAGCCTTGTCAGCCTCGCCAGCCTTGTCAGCCTTGCCAGCCTTGTCAGCCTTGCCAGCCTTGCCAGCCTTGTCAGCCTTGCCAGCCTTGCCAGCCTTGCCAGCCTTGTCAGCCTTGCCAGCCTTTTCAGCCTTGTCAGCCTTGCCAGCCTTGCCAGCCTTGTCAGCCTTGTCAGCCTTGCCAGCCTTGCCAGCCTTGTCAGCCTTGCCAGCCTTGCCAGCCTTGCCAGCCTTGTCAGCCTTGTCAGCCTTGCCAGCCTTGTCAGCCTTGCCAGCCTTGTCAGCCTTGCCAGCCTTGTCAGCCTTGCCAGCCTTGCCAGCCTTGTCAGCCTTGCCAGCCTTGCCAGCCTTGCCAGCCTTGTCAGCCTTGCCAGCCTTGTCAGCCTTGCCAGCCTTGTCAGCCTTGCCAGCCTTGTCAGCCTTGTCAGCCTTGCCAGCCTTGCCAGCCTTGCCAGCCTTGTCAGCCTTGCCAGCCTTGTCAGCCTTGCCAGCCTTGTCAGCCTTGCCAGCCTTGTCAGCCTTGCCAGCCTTGTCAGCCTTGCCAGCCTTGTCAGCCTTGCCAGCCTTGCCAGCCTTGTCAGCCTTGTCAGCCTTGCCAGCCTTGCCAGCCTTGTCAGCCTTGCCAGCCTTGCCAGCCTTGCCAGCCTTGTCAGCCTTGCCAGCCTTGTCAGCCTTGCCAGCCTTGTCAGCCTTGCCAGCCTTGTCAGCCTTGCCAGCCTTGTCAGCCTTGCCAGCCTTGCCAGCCTTGCCAGCCTTGCCAGCCTTGCCAGCCTTGCCAGCCTTGTCAGCCTTGTCAGCCTTGCCAGCCTTGCCAGCCTTGCCAGCCTTGTCAGCCTTGCCAGCCTTGCCAGCCTTGCCAGCCTTGTCAGCCTTGTCAGCCTTGCCAGCCTTGTCAGCCTTGCCAGCCTTGCCAGCCTTGCCAGCCTTGTCAGCCTTGCCAGCCTTGTCAGCCTTGCCAGCCTTGCCAGCCTTGCCAGCCTTGTCAGCCTTGCCAGCCTTGCCAGCCTTGTCAGCCTTGTCAGCCTTGCCAGCCTTGCCAGCCTTGTCAGCCTTGTCAGCCTTGCCAGCCTTGCCAGCCTTGTCAGCCTTGCCAGCCTTGTCAGCCTTGCCAGCCTTGCCAGCCTTGCCAGCCTTGCCAGCCTTGCCAGCTGCATGCAATGGCAGCGACAGCAGAAGCAGCAGCAATACCCACTGCAGCAGCAGCAGCAGCAGCAGCAGCAGCAGCAGCAGCAGCAGCAGCGGCAGCGGCAGCGGCAGCGGCAGCGGCAGCGGCAGCGGCAGCGGCAGCGGCAGCGGCAGCGGCAGCGGCAGCGGCAGCGGCAGCGGCAGCGGCAGCGGCAGCGGCAGCGGCAGCGGCAGCGGCAGCAGCAGCAGCAGCAGCAGCGGCAGCAGCAGCAGCAACAGCAGCAGCAGCAGGAAGCAACATACCCGGTGGGGGAGACGAGCGAGAGCGGCAGCGTGAACGAAAGGGGTCCCAGCAGAGAGAGAGCTTGAAGGAGAGGAAGGAGCAGTGGAATTTAGAGGAGCCTAAAAAGACAACATACCCGGTGGGGGAGATGAGGGAGAGAGGCAGTGTGAACGAGAGGGGCCCCAGAGAGAGCTTGAAGGAGAGGAAGCGGACAGTGGACCGCACCCCCCGCATGCTCTCCTGCTCCGGTGCCTTGCACTCCGCGTCTATCCACAGCTCGCCTGGTGGTGCAGTGCGGTGGAGTCCGGTGCGGGAGGATGCGTGGGTGGTGAAGTGTGGCGGAGTAGGTTGGAATGGGTTGGATGCGGATTGCAGGGGATGGAAGAAGAGAGAAATGGAGGAAGACATGCGGGTGATTGGCATTGGGGTGAAAGGGTAACTTAGCAAGGGCTGGCAAATGCTTGGCAACACACACACTTGGTCGAGGTGAAAGGAGCCATGAGAGGACCATGATGAATGAGGAAAAGGATGGCACTAGGGCACGGGGTTTGGATTGGTCTTGGGGATGAAGACTGGAATTTTTATAAAACTGTTTGTTGCAAGAAAGGGTGGTGTGTGTGGGAGTTAAGGTTGGGGTTGGAGTTGGGGTTGGGGGTGAGAGCGACAATGTGAAGAGCGACAATGAGACAAGAAGGCCCACCATGCACCAGCATACATGCACGCACCATCTACTCCCCATGCTGTGAACAGCGCCACGTTCTCTGCTCGGCCCTCGTCAGGAAGGATAATCTGCCATTCCAACACCCATGCAGTGCGGCATTCACCCATGCAGTGTGCAAGCAAGGCATGTGAAACGAGTAAGGTTGTGGAGTGACAGCGAAAAAATACGTGGGGGAGGGGCGAGGGAGAAGGAGTTCAGATAAGACCCACACAGCCAGACGATTTTTTTTAGAGTTCTCTGCAAACAATCCCTGCAAGATCCACACAGTCAGATATGCATGCATGAGAGAAGAGAACGACTACCCTTGGAACAATAGCTGGGGCTATCTGCCACGTATCAAGTGCAAAGACCTTTCTTGCTAGAAGCTTTCTCTAGCGCTGCAGCTCGTCCAAACCACGAGTTACGATGACTACACTTGGAATGGAATGATACCAGGGGCTATCTGCCCCGTATCGCCTGCAGCCTCGCCTTCTGCCTGGTCTTCTTGACGCACCTCAAAATCCCCTACAAGGATAAAATGGCTGGCCCAGCCTCGTCTCACCTGCAGACTCGCCTTCTGCCTGACCCCTCCAAAAACCGCGGGCTTTAAACGAGCGAGGAAAGGACCTTCCTCTGATGCATCCAATGTATTGGTGGAGGCTGCATGCAGGTTTCGGGGAAAGGAAAGGCGACGGGAAGGGGAAGGGCATGAGGAGGCGAAAGGTGAAGGGAAGGGTTTCAAAAGCGCGACGAAACGGCCCTCCTCCGATGCATCCAAGGTAGGGTGGGGGGGAGGGAGGGGAGGGGAGGAGGGGAGGAGAGGAGGAGGGGGAAGAATGTGGGAATGGGGTTCGAGCGAGTGAGGTAAGGGCCTTCCTCTGAACTGAAGCATCCAAGGCATTGGATGATGCTGCACTTGCAGGTTTGGGGGAAAGAAGTAGGAGATAATGCGAGAAGGGGTTGGGTATTGGGGGCAGCGGAAGAGAGGGATTGAATCTATGCTTAAGAATGGCAAAACTGACCCTTCCAATGGAATTAAGGACTGCATGTATGCATCTAACATTGGCTGAACGCAGACTTACACTACATTTAGAGCATGACTCTCACACTGCAAGCACTAAATGAGGAGAACATGACTCTAATCTGATGTCGAGGGTCCACATTTGCCCTGCGTGGGTTCAGAAAAGTATACTTTGAACCAGGCTTGCGAGCGCGGAAGTGTTGGTTGGTTAAATTCAGAATTTCGTGCCAACACCTTTCTTCCGCAGTAACATTTCGCCAGGATTCAGGATTTCGGGAGTCAAATGTATACTCTCGTATTAAGATTGGCACTTCCTAACCTGAAAAGGCTATGCAATCCTTCACTCATTCCCAGCTGGTCACACACACGCAACACAACACGTCCCCAGATAACATCTGTTTTTTAACTCGAGGCGGATATTTTATGGAAAGCACCTTATCTGTACTAGTTCAAGTCACCGGACTTCCAGACAGTAGGCACTACCTCAAAGAAGCGCCATTGCAGGATTTACTCTGTCATTCCATCTGTGATCCATTCCTCATGTTTTGAGTCAACTCAAAACACGATCCATCTGTGATCCTTTCCTCATGTGTGCTCCCCTGCAATCCCCATGTGTCCTCCCCTCCATTCCTCATGTCTCCTCCCCTGCTCCCCCTACTCACGTGCACTCCCCTCCACTTGTGCACTCCCCTCCACTTGTGCGCTCTCCTCCCCTCCACATGTGCCATGCACGCACCTGCAGTGGGGGCGATGAAGACCAGAGCCCACGTGCCGCCCAGAAGAGGAGACAGCATGGGTGAGGGCGTTGGGTTGGCTGCCTCCAACCGCTGCACAAATGCCACCATGCCACCATGCCACCATGCCGCCATGCCACCATGCCATCATGCCACCATGCCACCATGGCATCATGCCATCATGCCACCATGCCAACATGCCACCATGCCATCATGACATCATGTCAACATGACACCATGCCACCATGCCACCATGCCACCATGCCACCATGCCACCATGCCACCATGCCATCATGCCACCATGCCACCATGCCACCATGTCATCATGCCATCATGCCACCATGCCACCATGCCACCATGCCACCATGCCACCATGCCACCATGCCACCATGCCACCATGCCACCATGCCACCATGCCACCATGCCACCATGCCACCATGCCACCATGCCACCATGCCACCATGCCACCATGCCACCATGCCACCATGCCACCATGCCACCATGCCACCATGCCACCATGCCACCAGGCCACCATGCCACCATGCCACCATGCCACCATGCCACCATGCCACCATGCCACCATGCCACCATGCCACCATGCCACCATGCCACCATGCCACCATGCCACCATGCCACCATGCCACCATGCCACCATGCCACCATGCCACCATGCCACCATGCCACCATGCCACCATGCCACCATGCCACCATGCCACCATGCCACCATGCCACCATGCCACCATGCCACCATGCCACCATGCCACCATGCCACCATGCCACCATGCCACCATGCCACCATGCCACCATGCCACCATGCCACCATGCCACCATGCCACCATGCCACCATGCCACCATGCCACCATGCCACCATGACATCATGCCACCATGCCACCATGCCACCATGCCACCATGCCACCATGCCACCATGCCACCATGCCACCATGCCACCATGCCACCATGCCACCATGCCACCATGCCACCATGCCACCATGCCACCATGCCACCATGCCACCATGCCACCATGCCACCATGCCACCATGCCACCATGCCACCATGCCACCATGCCACCATGCCGCAATGCACGCCAGGACGTAATCATGCCACCATGCCAGGATAAGCCATCACGCCATCATGCCAATGTATGTGGTAAGAGGGGTTGGCACAATCATTGATACAATTGAAAGGGACAAGGGAGGGAAGGGACGGGGAAAAGAAAAGGGGCGGAAAGTGGACGACGGTGAGTGGGGGAAAAGCGGGGGAGAGGCACACAAAGGCGGGGTAGGAGAAAAAGGAACCAAGAGGTTGAGATTTGAGACACGAGCAAGCAAACACGGCAACCCATCTGCAACTCAACTTCCGTGCCCCATGCACCCTGCTGCTGCTGCTGCTGCTGCTGCACTCACCTCTATTAGTTGCAGTATCTGCTCTCGCTGCTGGGGAGAAGCTGCCTGCATGGGAAAACGTGGGTGACGGAGGGAGGGCGGGGGGTGTGGTCAGAGGGGAGAGGACGTTCGACCGTTTGTCCAGATGCACCTGTACTGACTCTTCCTCGTATAATCTGAATTGAAATGGTTTGCACGCTACTTGATGCAAGTGTCTCACCGTGACCCTTCCGGTACCCACGACAGCCCGCAACATCCTAAAACTGTTTTACTTAAACAGCATTCGCTGTCTCGTGAAGCTATGACACCTAAATGGTGATAACTTGGACTCACCTTGCCCCTCTGAGTCCCCCCCACAGCCCGCAGCAGCCGCTGCTTCAGCTCCTTAACGGTCTCGTCACCGCTTGCCGCATCGCCTGAAGACGACCCGATTCCAGCAGCAGCAACAACACGAACACGACCCCTGATAATTTCACGATATATTCCGCTTATTCCTCCTGTGATTCGAGGTTCCGGATAGCAGACCTCAGGCGACCGTCCGTTTCTTGCTGCTCGCGCCAAAAACGTAGCCTTCGCTCTGCCCGCGGTAAGGCCAGTGGAAGTAAGACATGTTTTGCCGCCAGGCGATAGTTTACTCGGGGGGTCACTTGTGACTTGTGACGCCAGTACGCACATATCCGCGGTCGCAGCGTCACTTGTGATAACGCCATACCGCATAGCAGGGCTTCTAAAACTAGGGAAGAGAGGAGCACTGATAGTGGAGGGAAGCAGCGAATGTGTTAGCAAATTTGACGAGCCTCGAAATTACTCATTCTAGATGTTCGTTATGATATAGTGGCGTGTAAGGAAAATTCCTTTTCCTTACTTCGCGTCCCTGCTCAGCGCGTACACCACTATTCCCGCCAACAGCACCCAACAGTAATCCGTTACCACTCGCGACACTCGCTTCGACACTGTTCCCGCCACTGTTCACGACGCGACCCAACCTCACGGTTCGGTTGGTAACCCGCGCTCCGGACCTCCGCCTCGACACAACCTCGGCGCCAGGCCCGTCGCGCACCCCAATTTCTACGCATTACCGTTACCACTGTAGCTTCGCTATATATTCTTCGCCCATGCCTTCGCTCATTGTACTTTTGCTTCGATAGTGCAATTCTCGCTCGCTCACTCAATTGCACTCGTAACACTTGGTTATCAGAGCCTACGATCTCTTCTCGGACCGCACCCACACCTTCGCTTCCCCACTATCTCAATTTTTTGGGGGGGGTAGACGTCTCTCAGCGACACAGCACCGCCGCTCGTAGTGCTCTCTCGTAAGCACGCACGGCCACGACCGAGGCTCTCGCTGAGCTCGCCCGACACCCCCACCATGGCCGAATTCAATCTCGCGACCTTGACGGAGGAGCAGCTCGACCGTCTGGTGCGCCAAGTTGAAGAATCGGCACTCGAAATTGCGACGCTCACGGCGGAACGTGACTCCGCACGTCAGCAATCAACGGTGAACACTCCAGCGCCACCACACGCACCGACAAATGCATCTGCGCAATCGGACGAACCGATCGTCATATCATCCAGCACACCAACATACAACAACAGCATGGGACAGCGCTCAGGCGCAGCCAGTGATGACACTACCCAGCCGATGCCTGGCATGGGAGGAAACAGGGTCGCGCCAAGCCCGCGGGAGCCTCGTGAAGCCCGTCGGCACGTGGAGTTCGCGGCGACAAGTGGCGAACAGGCCATTATGGCACCAATGCCACTCAAGCCGCAACGCCCGCCCTGCTTCGACCCGAGCCAGCGTGGAGGTCCGACGGTTCAATCGTGGGTCTTCACGATGAACGTCTTCTTCGACGCAAATTACGTCGAGTCGGACGCAGCGAAGATTCGGTATGCCGTTTCGCTGCTAAGGGGCCCCGCCATGGATTGGTGGCGAGTCATCATGACGTCGCCACGCGCCTACGAGCCACCGTCGCAAAAGGAAGGGCCCACGGGTCCAGCTGTCACCTGGAGTTCATTCTGCGAGACCGCCCAATACAGCACGTGGGATGCGTGGTGCGCAGGGCTTCGGGCGCGCTTCGAGCCGATCGCGGCTTCTATTTCGGCGCGTCAGAGATTGCGCACTTGGCGGCAGCTCGGGTCGGTTCAAGACTATACGAGTGGTTTTCTCGCATTATGCGAGCAGGTCGGCTACATGCACAAAGCGGAGCGGGTGGACCGTTACGTTGGGGGGCTGAAGCCGGACATCTCGCACGAAATCATGCTACGCGGACTCTCGAACTTCAACGAGATTCTCGCGCTCGCCGAGAAAATCGACATTCTACGCCGACCGAGACCGGGGTCCTACTAAGGACATCGTCCTCGGGGACCGACCGAGCACGCCACTGTACACGCCGTTGCGACGAACGCAGCTGCCGCGCCGTTTAAAGGGCGCTGCTTCGCTTGCAACAGGCCGGGCCATCGCAAGAGCGAATGCCCAGAGGAGCTGAGGCGCCGCGGTGCAGAGCAGGGGAGGGAGTCTCAGAGGCAGGGAAACGCCAGCAGTCAGTAGAAGTTGGGCCAACTACTGACGAGACTGCCTGCTCGCCCAACCGCACCGACCCTCACCGAGTCACAGTACCGATTCACGCCATCGATCGGGCTCGGATGAATAAGGAGGGTACAGCGACGGATTGCCCAGTACTGATCCACGGGAAAATACAGGGAGCAGCAGTGAAGATTTTTATTGACGGAGGAGCAAGCCACAGTTTAGTTAATACCGCAACTGCACGGAAACTACAACTGACACTTAGTCGCTGCTTACCTGAGATCGACGCACGCTTAATTGACGGCACGCCGCTGGCTATACGGGAGAAGGTGGAAAGAGTCAAAGTTCGCTGCGGGGGAAACTTCGGGTTTACACAGGAAATGCTCGCGACGACACTGGATGGGCACGACATTTTACTGGGACGTGATTGGCTGCGACGCTACAACCCGCGAATTGACTGGACGACAGGAAGCTGCACCGTGCGAAGTAAGTGGTAACTGGATCGAACTACCCCGCTGACAGTCGCCTGAGTCTTCAACGGTCCACGTCAACGCCATCACGATGAAACGGGCAGTCGCCGCTGGAGCTGACGTGTACGCAGTGGACATTGCAGTCGTAGGAGAAGCAGAGCAGCCGAACGATTTTCAGAAACTGTTAGCAGCAGTACCACCCGAACTACAGGAGCTGTTGAAACGGTACCCGGGGATTTTCCCCGACGACTTACCGGAGGGACTGCCACCTCAGCGGGCGCATGACCATAGGATAGAGTTAGAACCAGGGGCACAGCCAACTGTACAGCGCCAGTTCAGACTGACACAGCCCGAGCTCGACGAACTGAGGAAGCAGTGAGATTATTTGTTAAAGAAGCAGTTTATCCGGCCGAGTTCGTCACCGTTCGCCGCACCGATACTGTTCACGCCGAAAAAAGACAGAGGGTTTCGCATGTGCATCGATTACCAAGCGCTCAACAGGGTAACAGTCAAGTCGCGGTACCCCATTCCCCGCGCCGACGAACTGATCGACCAACTGCGAACAGCACGGGTTTTTTCGAAAATAGATTTACGGGGAGGTTACCATCAGATTAGGGTCGAACCATCGGACTGCGCCAAAACAGCTTTCAGGACTAGGTACGGGTCGTTCGAGTATACGGTGATGCCATTCGGGCTGACCAACGCACCGGCGACATTTCAGATGACCATGAACGAAGCGTTTAGGCCACTTTTAGATAAATGCGTGATAGTTTACCTCGACGACATCCTTGTTTACAGTCGTGACAGGCAGCAGCACTTAGCGGATCTGGAAGCAGTTTTTCAGATTTTAGATAAGCATCGGTTACTGACCAAAGGTTCTAAGTGCGAGTTTTTTCAGGACAGGCTAGAGTTTTTGGGGCACGTTATTTCGGAGGCTGGGGTTGAGATTGACCCAAAGAAGCTGGACACGGTCAAAGCCTGGCACCCCCTATTACGTAAAAGCCGGGACCGACCGCATCTGGGTACCAGGGTACACACTGCTGCGGGAATTACTGTTACAGGAGGCACACGACGGAGTTACCTCGGGACATTTCGGGGTAGAGAAAACACGGCAGCAGCTGCAGCGGTATTATTACTGGCCCGAAATGTTGACCGACGTTCAACGACACGTGGCATCGTGTCCCACTTGCCAGATCATGAAGTCATCACGGAAGCGGCCGGCAGGACAGTTGCAGCCGATACCACCCCCAGAGCGTGCTTGGCAGCAGGTGACGATGGACTTCGTCACGGGGTTACCGGCCGGAGCGAGTGGGAATGACGCGATTCTGGTCGTCGTCGATCAACTGACGAAAATGGCACACTTCGCAGCCTGCAAAAAATAAATCACAGCCGAAGAAACAGCCCGCCTCTTCATCGCTACCGTCGTTCGACTGCACGGGATACCAGCATCGATCATCAGCGACAGAGACACGAAATTCACCAGCAACTTCTGGCGGAACCTGTGGCAGCAGTTCGGCACACGACTACAGTTTAGTTCATCATACCACCCCGAAACCGACGGACAGACAGAACGGACAAATCAGACCATGGAACAGCTCATCCGGGCCACGTGCGACGACCCGAACACGTGGGAGCAGCAACTGCCACTCATCGAATTCGCATACAACAACTCACCATCCGCCACGACCCAACAGTCACCGTTTTACCTGAACTACGGACAAGACCCCACAGTACCCATGACCCCGAATCCCGACAACCCAGTCCCACGCGCGCAACAGTTCGCAGAAAATTACAAGCAGCACGGACCCGAGCAGCAGAAGCAATAAAAAAATCAAACGCCATCGCTAAGCGCAACGCCGACCGACACCGCCGCCCCGTCACTTACCAACCCGACGACCTGGTCTTACTCGACACTCAAAACCTCCGCCTGCCCATCACCCCGAAACTCCGCCCCCGATATTGCGGGCCATTTCGCATCAGCCACATGATCACACCCGTCACCGCCCACCTCCTCCTCCCTGCTGACTGGTACGTCAGCCCGTCATTCCACGTCAGCCTCCTTCGCCCATACGTGCCATCCACCAGCCAACTGCCTCGCAACCGCCCCACCAGCATGACACGACCACTGACTGAGCCAGTCATCATGCCTGAGAAAATACTGAGCCACCGAGTACGTGACCCACGGGGAGCCCGCAGAATCGAATTCCTGATCCGCCGGAAGGACCGCACGCCCACCGAAGACAACTGGGTCCCCCTGGATAG